AGCCTCATTCTAGTCGCTTCGGTGGCAGCCATCTCGCAATTTTGGATTGTTCGGTCCGTAGGCGAGTCCCAATCAATTTGCCTCACTCAAATTCCAACATCAAGGTTTCCTGACCACTCTGCCGTCGACTCACCTTATCTCTGAGCCTGCCAAGATAAGAACTCATTTCTGCTGTGATATCAGCCACCTTCTTCCTACGTTACAGAAAGCCTAGTCGCGCCGCCAAAAGGACAATCAAGAACGCTCAGGAAACCAGAGCGGTTGACAGATTCCGTCAACGCAGCACCCATCGATCGGTTTCCGGTGCCTCTCGTTCCGTGTCCCTCGAATCCGTACTGTGCTAGATTGCTGCACGAGCAAGTCCCGGCACAACCGATCGTCGCATAGCCGAGTATCAACCCCCCCGTAGCCCTCCCTTGTTCCACGCACATCAGCATCCACCCGTGATCCACGTTGGAAGCCACATGGGTGAGAAGTGGGTAACACCGACCGGACGGCCCCGGCCCCCGAAAGGCTCTACGTCCGCGCCGAGCCGCTTAAAGTCCATCTCTAAAATCTCCCTCAGCGACCGGCGGCTGTGGGAGCAGGAGCGGCGCCGCCTGATGCGGGCCGGGCGAAGGCCAGGGCTGATGGAGAGCGAGGAGGAGGGGGAGGAGGATGCGGACGACGATTCGGAGACGGAGGAGGAGGAGGAGGACAGCGACGAGTCGGACACGTGGTGCGCGTACTGCTGCGAGCCGCCTCGGCTGCAGAGCATCTGCGCCTTCTTCTTCGCGCTTATGATATTCTCCGCGCTGCTCGTCGCACTCTTCAGCGCCGCCGGCTTAATAAACGTGCGCCTCCGTTCGGTTGTCGCCCGATTCCTTTATTCGCGACTCCTTTTTCCCGGTTCTTCCGTTCCCGATTCTTCCAATTCCCATTCCTCTATTCCCGAATCCCCTATTCTCACGACCTGCCGTCGCAGCTCCCTCCCACCTCCCTCTCCTCCCGCCGTTTTCATACATCCCCCGCGGTGTTCCATCACTCCGCGCTGCTTCCTTCCGCCCATGCCCCGGGATGCGCCCAATCTCTTTCGTACCTTCCACTTCATGCCTCCCCACTCATGTCCCCCCTTCTGCCCCCTTCCCCTCCGCGCGCGCCCATCCCGCCAGCCCGTCAAGGATTGGTTGCCGCCGCCGGCGCAGCCTCGCCGCAACAGTCCTCCTCGGCCCGTACAAGGTGCGTGCTGCGGCGCCTCCTCTCGTCCCAGCCGCTGCATTAGATTGTATTCCACATCATCTGCTCGACAGCATCTGTGCCGTCTAGTTCGTCGCCGCGTCTCGATTAAGAGTGCTTGCGGCTAATGGCTCACTTGCTTGCTGCTCCCGTCCCGCCTGCTCATCTCTCCTCTCTCTCTCTCCCTCCTCACCGTACCGTGCTATGCGTCGCACCAGAGAACGAGCCGCGAACCATAGGAGTGTTTCCGTTACTGCCGGCGAGCGACTCGGAGCAGCTGGCGGCGCTGCAGCGGCAGCTCGAGCACCAGCAGAAGCTCCTCGCGGCGCATCGCCAGAACGAGCAGTCGTCGGCGCCGGGATCCACGGCGCCATCTGCGGCGTCATCCACCCCGCAACAACCGCTCCTGCAGACACCGCACCAGCGGCGCAGGGGGGACGCGCGCACCGCGCCGCTGCAGCAGTTCCAGAAGCTTCGCCCGTTCGGTATCGGCGCGCAGGGGCAGGCGCAGGCGGTTGGCGCGGAGCAGCGCGCGGGGGAGCTGGGGAAGGCGGAGGGCGCGGAAGAGGCGGGGGCGCAGAGGGGAGAGGGGGAAGCAGGGGGATCCGCGCAAGCGAGCGCGGTAATGGAGTCCCAGCAGCAGGAGCAAGCGGAGGAGCAGCAGGTGCTGATGCAGGAACAGCAGCAGCACGCGCAGGCGCAAGGCGCAACAGCGGGGGAAGAACAAGCTGAGCGCGCGGAGGAGGCGCAGGCGCAAGGCGGGGCGCAGGAGTTCCGCGTAGAGGGCCTGGGAGAAATGAGGGGCGCGGAAGGCGCAGACGGAGAGACAGGCGCAGGCGCAGGCGTAGGCGCGAGGGGGAGTGCGCGCGTGAGCGTGGTGCCGTCGTCTCTGCCTGTCGTTGACTTGTTCTCGAAGCTCGACCCTACGACCGCGCGCACCGTCGCCAAGCTGTCGCCTGCGACCATCACGTGCGACAAGGCCGTTCCGCTCGCTGCTGCGGTGAGCTCTAGATGGGGGGACGGGGGGATGACGAGGGAGAGGGGTAGGGGGAAAGGGGGAAAGGGAACGGGAGGGGAAGAAGGGAAAGGGTAGTTGGGGAAGGGAATGGGCGAAAGGGGAAAAGGAGGGGAAGAGGATAGTGGAAGGGTTTTCGAGGGGGGAAGGGTGGAGAATGTGTGACTTGTCCCCATGGAATGTTCAGCTGGTCTTGCCCTTTCCCTTCCATACCCCACCTTGACTCCTCACTCCGTCGCCCTTCCCTTCTCCAACCCCCGCCCTCGTCCGCGTCTTCCCCCTCATTCACCTCTCCGCCTTTCCCCACCCTCCCCCCACCCCTGTCTCTGCAGAACGCGCCTGGCGGGGGACAGCACAGAGCGGCGCGGCTGCCCAACTGCGAACCTCCCCCCTCCGATACGCCATGGCTCCGCCCCTCCGCTTCCGCCGCCGCCTCCGCCGCCGCCGCTTCTGCTGGTAACTTCCGTGGCGTTTCCGGTAGTGGTGGTGGGCAGGGGGCAGCAGCAGGAGGAGCAGGAGCAGGTTTAGCCGGTGCGGGGGGTGGGGGTGCGGATGCGCGTGGGGGAATGAGCGCGATGGCGCAAGCAGGGTCGCTCCAGGAGGGAAGGGGGCGTGTCCCGAGCAATGCAGAGCAGGTGGGGCAGCAGCAGCAGCCGCAGCCGCAGCAGGCGCAGCAGCAGGAACGGTACCCGAATCAGCGGGCGCAGGGAGGGCAGGGAGGACAGGGAACGCGGGGAGGGCGGACAGGGCATGTGGCAGCGGACAGTGAGATGGCAGCGCCGTTCCAAGCGTGTGTGGACCACACGAAAGTGCAGCGCATGGGTGAGAGAGGGGGGGGGGGACGTGATGGGTTGGCATCTCATGGCATGGTATGGGTTGGCATCTCATGGCATGGTATGGGTTGGCATCTCATGGCATGGTATGGGTTGGCATCTCATGGCATGGTATGGGTTGGCATCTCATGGCATGGTAGGGGTTGGCACGGCACGTGCGCGTGCATGATTCACTCAGCTACTCCGCCCACACAGCTACCCTGAATGCCTGTCACACGCCACACGCCACACGCCACACGTCAGCCCTTGCGCACCCTTTCCTCCCTTTTCTTCACCACTCCCCTTTCCCGTACCTGCCACTGTCCTTCCACCCGCTCCTCACCACCCCCTTCCCTCCCTTCTCCTGCTCCCATCCCCCCTCCCCTTCCCCTTCTCTCTTCCCATGGCTCTCCCACACTAACCCGTCTTTTTCAATCCCCTATTCTCCTCCTCTCTCCCCCACCAGCGGAGCAATCAGGGTGGCCGTACCTGTTGATGCAGGGGCGGCCGGCAGGGCTGGTGGCACAGGAGCAGGCGCTGCTGCGCGCCGTGTGGGTGGCCAAGGCCGTTGGCGCCGTGCTCGTGCTGCCACCGCTGGTGACACGGGCAACCACCGGTGCTGTGGAACAGCAGGTGGAGACGCAGGAACAGGGGCAGGGGCAGCAGGGGCAGCAAGGACAGCAGGGGCAGGCGCAGCAGGGGCAGCAGGGGCAGGCGGGACAGGAGGGGCAGCAGGGGCAGCAGGAGGGTAAGGAGCAGGGAGTGAAGGAGACGGGGATGGATAGGCTGTTCAGCACTCACTTCTTCATCACTCATGTGAGTCTTGCCGTGCCGTGCCGGGTGGCTGGAAACTGGGAGGCGGGGAGAGTGTGTGCGTGGTTCTGTGGGTGTGTGGGTGTGCGTGGGTGAGGGCGTGCGCAGGGGTGCAGTGAAGGGAGGATGGGGCTCGGTGGACGATAAGGGTTCGGGGTATACTCTGGCGTGGCGTGCCTGTCGAAGTGTGTGTGAGTGTGATGGAGGGGGAGGAGGGCACACACAGTGTGCCAGTGCATGTGGTCTTGATCATTCATCTAGCAGCAGCACACATCCTGCATGCGTTCTCCTTGTCTTTAATTCCTCCCTCCAACCCCCCCTCCTCCCCTCCTGCCCTTCCTCCATGTGTCCTCGCCCTCACGGCGTCTTGTGCTGTCGCTCGTGCTGCCTCTCCTGCTGCCCCTGCTGCTGCTGCAACGCCACACCATGACATGGCACATCAACTGCAGATGTACTGCTCATCAGGTACACGCCCCTCGCCTTCCCTTTTGCCTTCTTTTTTCATGCTGACTTGTCTTCTCTTGCCGTCCTTCCTCTCTTTGTGTTCCACATTCCCCCAGTCCCTTCCTTAAGTGGTCTGCCCTGTCTTGCTCCCTCATCGACCCCTTCCCCCTTGCCCCGCCCCCTCCTCCTGGCACCTCCCCTCTCCACCTCTTCCCCGTCACAGGAATCTGGGTGGTGCCGCAGCTTCCCGGAAGCGTCTGGGACCGACTGCCCACAGGGGTGTCAGGAGATGACGTGGACGCCTTGCTGGCGCTGCCAGGTGGCATCGCGCAGCGCATTCCACGTGGCATAGTGGCTGCCAGCGGGGATGCTGAGAGTGCAGCACTGGCGGAGTGGTTGCAATCCATGGGCCGCAAGACCAAGAAGGGCGAGGTGCGGGGCGTGAGAGGGAGTGTGAGAGGGAGTGTGAGAGGGAGTGTGAGAGGGAGTGTGAGAGGGAGCGTGAGAGGGATTGAGAGAGGGGCTGTGAGAGGGGGAGCAAGAGAGTGCGGGAGCAAGAGGATTTCTCCGGTTTAACTGTTTCCTGTGCTTCCACCCCATGCAGGAAGCCTCGTTGCTTTCCCCATTCTCATGTCTCACTATGTCTCACGGCTTCTGCTCCTCTTTTTCCCCCCAACCCCTTCTTTCCCTTTCTCCCCCTCAGGTCCGACTGTTAATATACAACTCCTCAGACCCCATCTCCTTCACCACCTCCCAGCAACCGCAGCTGCAGCAACAGCAGCAGCAACAGCAATTGCAGCAGCAGCAGCAGCAGCAGCAGGGGAGAGTCAGAAAGAACGCACTGGCAGCACTGCGAGTGGTACCGCCTGTAGCATCAGTGACGACACAGCTGCTGCACCTCCTGCGCAAGGCCTACCAGGCCCGCTTCTCCGACCTCTCCCGCTTCCACTTTGCCGCCCTGCACTTGACGCTCGAGGCCCCACCACAGCCCGATGCAACAGGAGGGTCGGCAGGAGCTGCTCTCGCTGCTGCAAGCCTGCAGGCAGCTCGTGAGGCACTCTTGACTCTCCTGGACCCGTCCAGAACGCTGCTCTATGTCATCATTGCCCCCGTGCCCCACCGCACGGCCATTCTCCGGGAGCTCGCAGAGTCGTACCAGGTGGTAACCAGAGATGACCTCATCAGTGACGTCAGCAGCCGGTTTCCCGAGGGCGAGGTGCAGACAGCGTTGGAACAGGGTGTTGCGAAGGAAGCGGCGGTGTTCATGGGTTCGTCTGCGGATGCGTTTTCGAGGTTTGTGTTTGAGCTGAGGTGCTTCACGCGCCCGCTGCTGGGCCGGTCGCAACGAGCCACTGTGTTCTATGACCTTGGCTTGTCTGTCGCCCCGTGCCGCGTGGATCTCTAGGGGTTGGAGGGGGAGTTGATGGGTGATTTTTGTGGTTGTGGGTTGAGATATGGTAGGATCGTTAGCTTATTTCGGGAATATGGGGTGCCGCAAATTGCACCCATGTTGATTTGATTAGAGAATGGGATTGGATGTGATACTTCTACGGTTCAAGCCTAAGGCTGAAGGGTTAGGAGGAGGATTATGGGACAGGGAAATGCCTGAAGCCCTGCAGGTTTAATTTGAAGCGCAAACCAATATATACATAATTACCTCAGTCATGTCACCAGCTTGTGACTTTTATTGCGTAACATCCAGATGCATGTTGAACGTACATCTTCACTAAAAATATAGTGTGAAAGGGTGTACAGAATTGCATAGCAGGCTGGTAGCTGCTCAATCTAGTACAGCAGAATCTAGTAGGCCTGTTGCTGGCCAATCAAATGCAGCAACGCGTCAGACCACGGACCCCAGAGAGTCGTTTCTGTACCTGCCAAGTCAACCAGTCACGCCACATGCAGGTGAGAAGTCAGATGGCATGAGGCACACACAAGCAGCCACACTCAAAAGACAATGGCATGCGGTGAAGGCAGGCCTGAGAGTGTCGCACAGACAACGGAATTCACCCACTTGAGAGGCTAGTTTGTGGAAGACTGGAGGGGGGTGTGAGAGATGAGGGAAATGCGGTGGCGGTGGTAGGGGAGAGGAGGGAGTTGAAGGGTGGATGTGGGGGGGGGGGGTGGGGGGGGGGGGGACGAGAGAGAGCGGGGGAATGGCATGAGACAAGGGAGGTGAGGGTGGGCGTGAAGGAAGAGAACAAGATTGGCAGCAGTGATATGAAGGGGGGGCTAGGGGGGTGAAGTTAGAGAGGGGGGAATGAGTGGAGAGCGGGGAAGCTGAGCGAAGAGCAGGGAATATGAGGGGAGAGCAGGGGATGAGGGGAGAGCGGGGGGGATGAGGGGAGAGCGGGGAGGATGAGGGGAGAGCGGGGAATATGAGCGAGTGTGGAGGCTGAGATATGTGTGACGTTTGTAGGCCGGGTCAAAATGGAGAGACGCGGAAGCGCGGAGGAAAGGAGGAGGGGGAAGAGGGAGGGGGGGAGGGGGGGGGGAGAGGGGGGGAGGGGGGGGGGAGGGTGGGGAGGTGGGGGAGGGAGAGGAAAGGACGTTTCTAGGCTAGGTCACAGGGAGACAAGGGAGAGAAGGGGAAGCGGGGGAAGGGGGGAAAAGAGGTGGGAGAGGGAAAGGGAGGGGGGGGGGGAAGGGAGACGTTTTTCGGATAGGCCAAGGGGGGGAACGGGAGAGACAAAAAAGCGGGGAAATGGGAAGGGGGAGGGGTGATCAAAGGGCGGCCGCTTCGCTTTTTACCTTCCGCCAATCCTCTCCGTCCTCAATCATATCCTTTCACCCGTGCATTCCTCCTTTTCTCCCCTCCACCCACCTCCCGGCCTCCCTTTTTACCGTCTTGCGTCCAGGGTACCATCGACGCGCACTAGAATCAGGATAAGAAGGGGAGAGCGGAAAGGGGCGGGGGATGCGGAAAACAAGGGGAAAGTGGCCGCTTCGCCCTTTTGCCAATCCTCTCCATCCATTTCCCCATCTTCTCCCCTCCACACACCTCCCGCCCTCTTTTTCCCGTCTTGCGTCTAGGATACCGTCGACGCTCTGAGGTCGACGAGACGCGCTGTCTAATCGACGAAATGCGCTACCTTACCGATGCGTCCGGAATCGACGCTACTAAATCGTCCAACGTCACGATTGCGTCTGTATCATGTAAATAAAAGCCAGATCTGGATTGCGCAACTTCTTACCAATACTGCGACATCTCATCATATCTGATACACCTAGCACGCCAACAGACGCCCGACGCGACTTACAGTAAGTACCACCGAGAGAGTGAGCAACACTTGCTACAGCGTAAAAAATAATGCTGCATGAAAAAGCTGTACTCAGAAAGAGTACCGCGCTCAGATCTAACCTTACAAGAATCATCCAAGGACACTAACAAGGTGAGCGGCGAAACTACTACTGAAAGCAGATTAGGTCGAGAAGTCACACCCTCGCTATTACTTTCTGGACAATGACGGGTGAGGGACTAGGCGTGGCAGGTTCGGAAATTATAGGTTCGGGTTGTTGATAATGCCGTGGTGGTTGTGCCAGGGTGTCAAAACCACCCTTCATTCCCACTGGTTCACGTAAATCTTTTCTCATCCACCCATTGTTTTTCCTGCTGCCCAGCCAGCCGAACTTTTCAGCACCACGCACAAATCCCACGACCAAATCGAAGCCGTCCCGCACCTCACGCCGAACTAAAAAAAGCTCACCTATGCTGTACGATTTCCCGCAAAACAACTCAATGACCCAACTAAAGATAGGGCCACGTCAACCACCTCCTAGAAAGTTCGAGCCTGCCCTTCTCCACCAAACCTTCCTCAGCAGAGATACGCGCCCTGAGCAAACTCGTTTGCATGCGGACAATCCAAACCAATATGCTAATGTCAATCCAACTGTTCTGTACTGTACAATGAATGTACAACATGGATTGGGCTGGATGGATAAGGCGGGAACACATTTTGAAAATTTGAATTGAACCGACTCAACATGCTCACCACGCGCCCTCGGGGAATGTCCCCTGCCGCTAAGTCGGCGGGGCATTCATTGGTCAATGACAATAGCCAGCCACTCACACCACCCCCATCCCATGCAATCCGTAATCGTCACCGTTGAGGGTGGCTACCCCCACCATCCACCCATTCACAACACACTCTGTTTCCTATCGCACCGCGCACCCAGCCTGGTGTCAGTAATTCCCTCCCTTTCGGGCAGCGTAAGAGTATCACAACTCGTCAGGCCGTACTGCACCCAGGTAAACCACATTGAACCATCACATTTGGGTTCAAGCCGCGGTAGGATGCACCACGGCGGCCAAATTGTTGATTTGAATTCAGTCATCCATCCAGCAGCGGCACGCTCATCCTTCTGTTTTAGGTCCCACCTTTTGCTACCTCTCTGAGCATAACTATCCAAGTTGTGTCATTGTCGTCCATTTTTTTCCTTCTCAACTCACTGAAGGAATCTTAGAAAGCTCCAACCTAATGAGCTTAGACTTCAGGCCACAAGCTCCACGGAGAAATCTATGCTAACTGAAGCCACTCGGTTACTAGTACACGGAGAAGCCCGCGGCACGCAGCAGCGCTGAGTTAGATTAGAGGTCGGGTGGGGTGGGTGGGTAGAGTCCGTGAGGGAGCGAGCTGCTGTGTGTCAAAGGCCGACCCGTGTACTACACCGAAAATCCGCGGCAACCTCTTTTACCGCGAGAAATTTCATAACCGGAAGATCCATATGGCGAGTCGTCTATAAAGTCTTCACGCCAGAAAACTTCCACGGCGGGATCTCCGCTCGAAGATCGCCACGGCATAAGAGCTTTTAAAGTGTTTCATGGCGCCTCTTCTGCTGGCGCCGACCTGATCGCCGACGCAGCCACGTTTGCCTCCGGTTGAGACGGAGACGCAAGCTACAGGGTCTCCGCTCCAAACTCGTCTCGGCAGGAGCTTCAAAGTGTTTAACGGCGCCTCACAAGTCTTCACCAACACGATGAGGACCCACCTGGTATGTGTTATATCGTTTTCGTTTTCAAAATGACTTCCTACAACCGTTTTTGTCTGGTTACGCTCTGAAACGCCGTTTTTTCTTTCTTTCTTTCTGGATTTTTTCTAACTCTTTCTTTGTTTTCCTGCAGAGCATGGATCTGAAGTTGAAGTTCGCGGGTAGCTTTCAGGCTCAACCTGAAGCCGTTGGAACTAGCCGTCTTATCGCTTGCCTAAGGTGGTTCTAGTGCGGCCTCCTCCTCGTTGCTGCCAAGACAAGTCCCCAGCACTTGAAGACGATCGACCGACCAACACGAAGCCCAACACAAGAACTCGCCAACACACAAGTCAAGATCTTCTTCACCAACATGATGAGAACTCACCTGGATGGAGACGGTAAGTGTAATCTCGTTTTCGTTTTCCTCTTGTCTTGTCTTGTCCTCTGAATCGTTTCCGCATTTGTGTCATACGTGATTTTGCCGTTTTTACGTTTTTTTTCTGGATTTTTATCTAACCTTTTCTTTGTTTTCCTGCAGACGATGTTGAATGGAGGACATAAAGTTTTGAAGTTGGCGCATCGAAGTTGGTGTTGGCGCAATCATCGCCGTTGGCGCTTCACGCATGAAAACCGGACGCCACGGCTCGCTAACTGCCGTCGCGGATGTCGTCCAGGTTGGACTAATACATGCAAGTTTTAAACTCAACTGTCGCTTTCAGTGTCCGTCCTTCTTCATTTGCCGTCCGTACTGATCTGTTGCCTCCTTCATTTCAGATCTCCGCGACCGTCCCGGCGACCGTCTCGGCGACCGAAGATGGCCACTCGAAAGCGACTCAAGCGACAAGGCAGCAACGATCACAAACGCTTCATGGTGCTTCATGGTGTCCCCGTGGCGCCTCCCCTGCTGGTGCAACCTCTCCCGACTCTGGTGGAGTGGAGGTAAGTGCCGTTGCCGTTTCATCAACTCTTTGTGATCTGTTCCACGTGCCTTTGAGAAAGTTTCTCAACTCATTTCACGTTTTATTCTGCAGACGAGCATCTCGCCCAAGATTCTTTCACGTTTCAAGTTTACCCGGTGGAACTGAAGATGAAGCTCGCGTCCACGGTCATCTCAGTCGTCGCGGAGACGCGCATGGCGCTTCGACATGCGCGGAGACGCGCAGAGACGCACCGGGATGCGGCAAGACGGTCGAGTGAAGGTAAGTGTTTGAACAGCTTTTTGAATCTGTTTTTGAGAAACTTTCTTACTTGTTTCACTCTTTCCTTTGCAGACAATCATCCTGTCGTTAGACTGAAGGACTTGAAGCCTGAACGATCACTCCGTTCAAGTCTGAAGAATCTTCAAGCCTGAGCTTGATCCGTTCAAGTCGGAGGACCTGAAGCCTGAAGTCTGAAGGACTTGAAGTCTGCAGTCAAGATTGCTTTAAGCTCGTCGCAGCGCCAACACAATGGAGGTAAGCTTTGTAAATCGCTTTTAATCGCTTTTTCAAATCGCTTTTTAATCGTTTTTCAATCGCTTTTGAAAGCTCCTTATGCTTCCTAGTACTAACCTGCTGCAGACCTTTTAACGACGATCTACGACGTCTTGGCGAGACGCGAATACTTCAGCGAGTCTTGGCGGATTCTCTTTGCTCGGGTTGGGGTAACGTGACCTTCAGCACCTCGAATTCTATTTATTCACCCTTTCTTAGCTTCTTACAATTTCAGTTTCTTGACGGCTTCTTGCTTTCTTCCTGCAGACGCACCGAGAAGCTCGGCGACGGATGGCGACGGAAGGGGGTTGGCTTCGACCGTCGCATGCAGACGAATTGCGGCGAATGACGACGGATGCCGGCGGATGCAGACGGATGGCGACGAATCTGTTAACTTTCCAGCCTGAAGCCTGAAGGACTTTAAGTCAAGAGCCCATCGCGCCGCCAATACAATGGAGGTAAGCCTTTAAGAGCCCTTCAATCGCTTTCAAGTGCAGTCGTTTTCAATCGTTTTTTCAACTCTTTATGCCATCGCTTTTCCTGCTTTTTTCCTGACGGCTTTTTGTTTTTTTCCTGTAGACGCCAGCGTCGCACGGCGACGCACGGATGGCGACGAATGCCGACGGATGGCGCTTGGCTTCGACCGTCGCAGAGCGGAAAGGCATGCAGACGAATGGCGACGAATGATGACGGATGCCGGCGGATGCAGACGGATGGCGACGAATGGCGAAGAATGGCGACGCATGGCGACGCATGGCGACGCATGGGGACGGATGCCGGCGGATGCAGACGGATGGCGACGAGTGGCGACAAATGACGACGGATGGCGACGCTTGGGGACGGATGTCGGCGGATGCGAACGGAGGGCGCTTGGCTTCGACCGTCGCAGATCGTTCAGCGCCGGGACTTCAAGCTACGCCGATTCCCTCACATGGTAAGGTGCAGTTTCAATTTCCATTCGCTTTTTTTCCCGGATTCTAACCTTTTTCGTTGTTTTCTCTCTTAAGTGCAGGACCAGGGGAGCGGGAGCGGCGCTGACAGCAACGGGACTTCAAGCTACGCCGACTCCCTCACATGGTAAGGTGCAGTTTCAATTTCCATTCGTTTCCTTTTCTAGATTCTAACCTTTTCCGTTGTGGGCTTTTCTCTTAGCGCAGGACGGCCGGGAGCGGGAGCGGGAGCAAACGGCGCTGGCGGCGGCGACGAGGGAGTTCAAGCTACGCGGAGTGGTGTCGGGAGAAGCCGGAGCGAGGAGCCGCAGCGAGGAGCCGCAGCGAGGAGCAAGGAGCGAGGCTGGAATCTGACTTCCCCCTCCATCCCGCCCGTGTTAGCAGATTCGGCGGGAGCAAACAGGCGTGTAAGTGGGTTGGGAGGTACGGTGGTGGGTACTGGACGTTTAGGAGCGTTAGGCGATTGCTAGGCACTATCACGTGCGATGGTTTGGGTCAACCTGGCAACTCCTCCTGACAACAAAGGGGAATCGTCCGATCCGAGGTGTGTACCAGGACGTTTAGGAGCGTTCGTTCGATTAGGCACAATCACGTGGGCGATGGGATGGGTGGGATCAGGTGCGTTCAGGTACGTGCGACTCTCCTGACGGCTGGCGGTCAAAGCGGCAACTCCTTCTGACAAGAAACCGGAATCGTCCGATGCGTTAATTTATTCATCTGCCCGTGTTTCTAGCTTTGACCGTTTCCCCCCTCCCAAGCAGGCCCCACGCGAATGACCCTCACACCTCATCGTGGTGCGTGGGTGTAACGTCAGGGGCATTTGCCTCTGACGGCCAAGAGGGGTCAAGAAGACTTTCAAGCTGCTGCTCTGGACGCGCAAGTGGATCTGCTCACACTTCGGCTTAGGGAGCTTAGAAGGCTTAGCATTAGGTTCTGACTTTTATCTAGTTATTTAATGGAATAGTGTTTGTACTTTTTAACGATGGTACTGTTAAGAACTTACCTCGGTGTATAGTTATCAATTGGAAAGATGAACTTTCGTATTAATAACACGTGGCACCGCTCTGTCGTGAAACTTAGAGATCGCAACGAAAGTCGCTACTCGCGCTGTCGCGAGCGATCGCGCGAAACACGCTAGCGAGGGTCGACCCGATACTAGTAGTCCTCGATGTAGGGGAGCGCTAGTACCTAATCCGCTGCCTTTTGCGCTACTGCTACTACTTCTGACAGCCGTCGCGGAGACGTGGACGGTTTCGCCGCGATCGTACATGGGCTTCGCCGGCGTCGCCGTCGTCGTCGCAGCGGGGCGGCCGTCGCAGCAAGGCAACGCGTTCGAGTGCGACGAGTCGCAGACCGCCATGTACTCGACGTCGTTCGATCCCTGCACTCCCCCTCCCCCTCTCTCCTTTCCGCCCTTCCCCGGAACGATCCTCATGGGTGATTCGGAATCCGGCGTTCTTGAATCTTCGTCCGTGGATGTGCGCCTTCTCTCGCTCTCACCTCCTCCGTTAAAGCGCCTGAAAGTCGTGTATTTGCGCCGGTTCGCACCTCCTCACGCGCTATCCAGCGCACGTCCCTCGTCCCTCCCCCCATGATCGCCTGCGCCCTCCACTAACAAACGCGCGCCTGCACCTGGTTCCCCACTCCTATTCCCCAATGGCCCCCTACTCCCCTTTTCCCCCTCTCCCCTTTCTCCCTCTTTCCCCCTCTCCCCCTCTTCCCCTTCCCCCCATCCCCCCTTTCCCCCGCATCCGCCCCCCAGCTGCGGCGCCATCCGCGCGGTACCTCGCCATCGGGAATCTCTGGGAGCAGCTGAGCAAGGCGCGCCTCCACCTGACGGAAGCCATGGCTCTCGCGCGCCACTGCGGGCGCACGCTCGTTCTGCCACGTGTGCGCAGCAGCCGCATTGGCGGTAACAACCTGCCATGTGGCATGCTCTGCTCCCCTCGTGCGCGTTCTTTGACCCGGTGCTGATGTGGCGGTTCGTGCCGTGGGTGCGCGAGGAGCGGTTGCTCGCTTGGGAGGGGCGCGAGGGGGCGAGCTCAGGGGAAGGGGAGGGGGACGCGGGGAAACGGGGAGAAGGACACGTGTGGCTTTCTTGAGCTCAGAGGTGGCAGCCGAAGCAGAAGCAGCAGCACGAGGTCCAAGCACCCAGCGCAGCAGGGCACAGGCAACACAGAAAGCGGGGCAGAGGGGGCAGGAGGAGGAGGTGCCTCTGTGGAAGTGGAGGGCGCAGCACAGAGCTGCAGAACGCGGCATTGCGAGGCGGCGTGTGAGAGGAAGAGGATGATGCAGTATTACTTCCAAGAGGTGGGCGTCTCTTGACAAGGCTTCAAAACGGCAACAGCAACACCACCTGTGGACGAGGCCTTGCAGCACCTCCTATTGTGCTTACGTGCTTTTCTTTGACTGCGTGCCCGTGCCCGTGCCTGTGCCTGTCCCCGTGCCCGTGCCTGTGTCCGCGCAGCAACGAGCGGCTGGGCAACAACATGGATGTGGATCTGCACTGCACCATCTGCATGTGGACGAGGCATTGCAGCACCTGCAGCTGCACCTCACGCTCCTGCAAACCCTGCCCAGTCAGTCCCGCCGCTCCCCGCTTGCCCCTTCCCATGCGCGTTGTGAGTCAACTCAAATCACACCTGCCTAGTCAGTCCCCTCCCTGTTCACATCGTCCCACGCTCCTCTTCCCTCGTCGTTTCCATCACATCTCATCTGCCACTCGCGCTACCCGGTGCCACTCTCCCCTTGCCTTTCCTCATCAGCTTTCCTCGTCATATTGCTCTGCGGCGTACCGACACCCCACACCACCCCTCTCCACCCCTCCGTCTCTCCAGTCTCCCTGCATCTGCACTTCTCACGCCTCTCTCTGGTCCTTTCCCTTCCCAAGCTCGTTCATGCTGTGCCAGGAACCTTCTCCCAGAGAGTAGGTGTGGGGGGGTGGTGCTTGATGCTGGGGACTGTGACTCGGTGGGTGCTGTCCTATTGTCTGGGATGCGTGTGTGTGTGTGAGGTGTGTGCATGCATGAGGTGCTGTATGGTTGCTCTGCTGCATGCATGGTGTCCCCTTGCAGCATAGCGGTCATCACTGGTAGAGGCAAGCGCAGCGCTTCTGGGCAAGCCAAAATCAAACCTGCGGTAGGGTTGGCGGAAAGGGGGGAAGGGACGGAGGGGGCGGCGGAGAGTGGGAGGGGTTCACAGCACCGACTCATCTCAAGTCTGGCTTTTTATAATGCTTTGGAAAGAAGGATGGGTAAAGATCTGGCCGTGAGGCACTTGCTGTGGGTTCCTTGCGAGCCGATGATGTCATAACGCACATAGAGCTATTCTGCACGTGCATATAACGCACATAGAGCTATTCTGCACGTGCATATAACGCACATAGAGCTATGCTGCACGTGCATATAACGCACATAGAGCTATGCTGCACGTGCACATAACGCACATGGAGCTCTGCTGCATGTGCACATAACGCACATGAGGTGCCTCGTAACAGGCAGCATCACAACCTGCCTCCCGTTCTAATTCTCGTAGACGATCACTTGAGTCAGTCCATCCAGACTGTGTGGATCACATATTCACAGCCAAATGTCCAAGCTACCACTCTGTGGAGTCATGCCATCAGCTGTGTCACTGCTGACAGCTGCATTGTTGATTCGCTGTAACTTGCACTATCACTGCCAATAGCGACCTTCTGCTTCACTGCTCTACTCTCCCTATGCCTAAAGCTGTGGTGACACCTCTCACTCTTAGTATCAGTCTGTTACTCCCTCGTGGCTTTTCTTGCATCACATTGAGACTGAGGTAGGATACTTGGCAGTTTTTCTTACATATACGGTATGATCGATCAATATCAGTTGAATTTGCCTACCAAGCTTAACCAAACACCAAAGAGCAATGCAAATCGCATACTACAAACGACTAAGCACGAGAGCACATTCACACGTGCGCCCACGACCACTCAACAGAAGTCTCATACGTGGGCATTCTCAAAAGGCTACACTACTGGACAGGGTGGGGTGTGTATGATGGAACTTGTGGTGGCAAAAGCATGCCCACCACCACCAATATTGGCATATTGAGCGGGTGTTATAGGACCAACTCAGCCGTAGATGCTCCTTCTGCTACAGATAAGGAAACCCGCAATCACCTCGCGCTGCTAACCATCTTCTTCTGCACCACCATCACCTCCTCCTCTCCCTCGCCCTCCACATCCCCAGGCAAGCCATCAGCAGCAGGCAACAGCGGGCCCTCCAGAACCGTCCATTTGAGCGCTGCGGCGCGATCAGCCACACGAGCAAGCAGCGCAGGGGCGTCACGCAGCAGCAGGAACCCGCCAGGGCGCATGATTCGATCCATCTCCAGGAGCACATCGTCCGTCGAGCAGCGGCGCGCAGTGACCAGCGACAGCACCTTGTGCGCATGCAGCAGGTCATACGTGCGAGGGTAGGTAGAAAACTCCTCACACCAATCGTGAAACACGCCCAGGAGCCCCCGATCGTAAATCACCTCCAGTGCATGTTGCTCTGTGGGAGGCACGGCTGTCATTACCCAGACGGGCTTGGAGGCGGTGAGTGCAGCTGCGAAAGCACCCAGTCCTGCGTTCATGTCGAGCACGTTGCGGATGGAGTCTGGCTGGACCCGGTCGGCTAGGAGTGCCCAGTATGCGTCCACCCGCTCCGCCCACACCTTCTGCTCGGGGGAAGGTGGGGGAAGGTGGGGGGATGGGGAGGGGGAGTGAGTGGGTGGGGATTCGTTGGGCCGGGATACGTGGGGGGGAAATGGGATGGAGGTGTGACAGTGGAAAGGGTTAACAGTAACGTGGGGGGGAAAGGGATGGAGGTGTGACAGTGATGTGGCAGTGCAAGGGTTAACGGTTGACAAAGGGAGTTCTCAATTCAGAACGCCAGGGGAGTGTGCTCACCTGCAGGCCACTCACACGCCCGCGCCTCACTCACTCATCCCCAAACCTCACTCACGCCAATGCCGCTCACTCACACGCCCATGCCACTCACGTTCATCTTCTTGTACGCGTTGGTGCCCACGTCAGTGAGCGCCACTCTCGGAGGCGGCGCCTTGAGCCGCCGCGGCCACGGCGCCACACCCACTGCGTCGTCTGCTACACGGATGAATGGGGGTCGACATGAGACAAAGACCGGGGAAGGAAGGGGCAGGAGGAACGGGAAAGGTGAGTAGGAGGACGGGCGAGGTCGGTGGGAAAGGGGGTCAAGAATGTGGGCTTGAAAATGTGCGAGAAAGGGAGTACCAGTAACCAGAGCAGCAGCGGCAGCAGAACGTGGAATGGGCCGAAGAACGGCAGCGAGCGCACCTGTGGCAGGAGCGGCGATGCAGGTGGAGAGTGAGACGTTGTACGTGCTGCTCGCCTCGTCGCGCCCGCGCTCGTCGCACAGCACGGGAACCGTGCCCTCGGGCTGCTCCGCATAGCAGGTGCCGCTCTTGGGCTTGCGGAATATCGCCGTCTGCGCCTCGCGCACCTCCAGGGTCCAGCACAGCTTGCTGATTGGGCGGGGAATTCGGGGTTTCAGGGATGAGCGAGACATGGTTGATGAGACAGGAGGGATGTGATATAGGCGAGAATGAGAGGAGCGAAGCAGGGGCGAGGGGGGGACTTGATGAGTGCGACATGGAGGTAGGTACGAGACGCATGTACCCACCCTGACGTATCCACCACTCATCCCGTACAATCCCGTTCCGTGGCATCTCATCCCATCCACGGTATCCCATCCCATCCCATTCCACCACATCCCATCTCACCGCATCCCATCCCGCTACTCACGTGGTCACGTCCGTCACTTGCTTCCACAGTGTGCGGCTCTCCTCGTCGTCGCGGTACGCAGGGGGGGCGGACCACACCCAGTACCCGCCGGGCCGCAGCAGACGGTCCAGCTCCAGCAGCAGCACGCCGTCTGACATGAGAAAGGGACGGATGGATAATTCAGGATATTAAGAGATCGAGAGGGAGAGAGAGAAAGTGGGAGAGGGGAGAGTGAGGAATGTGTCTTAACGGGCGAGGATGAGGGTGGTACGTAAGTGCTCCACAGCGAACACTGCACGCACCTCTCTGGCCCCAGTCGATGCGGCATCGCGAGCAGTGAGCGAGATCGAACCCGCGCGACGGGAACGGCAGTCGCTTTGTCCCGAGCACGCCGAGCCACGCGGGCACACCGCGCTCGAGCGCGAACTGGATCTGATTCTCATGCCGATCGTTGGGCGCCACCGACATGGCTATCATGCCCTGGTCCAGCAGGAACGCGCCAAACGACGCCACCCCGCACCCGATGTCCAGAACCGTACGGATCTTGCCGCCCAGCGACAGATCGCCGTCTTCGTTCTTGAGCATCTGTAGAACAGGGCGGCAAGCGGTGGGGCAGGGGAGACCAGCAGGGGAACGTGAGAGGGCGAACAGAGCCGGAGAAGGATCAGCGCGGGGGACCAGGACAGGTAACGAAGGTACGAGGATGAATTTGTGCGGAATGAACTCGCGCAGAAAGGACCAAGGGCACGGGGTGAAAAGAACGAGGAGCTGCGCGGAGGATTGTATATGTTCCGACGGCGCGACGAGAGAATGTGGCGGCGCGACGAGTGACGCACCCGGCCGACGGACTGGATGTACTTGTCGGCCCCGTCGTGGAAGTGCGTGCCGCCGCCCGGGAAGCGGATCTTGTCGCCCTCCACGACCATCCAGTGCTGGTCCGACTTCTCGGTAGCGAGGAAGGGGTGCGGCACGTTCGACTTCCACACCACGTCGCGACTCTCGGGCCACCGGATGGGCGTCTGGCGGTAGACAGGGCCGAGCGGCGAGGGACGAAACGAAAGGAAAGGCACGGGGAGAGATACAGAGAGATGGTGAGCGCGAGAGCCATGACAAGGAATGGAGATGACGGAATAGGGTGAAAGTGAAGCAAGGCAAGCCGACTGGAGTCAAGCGGGATTTCCGAGGCAATCGTCGTACGAGATGACCGACGCCCCTCTACCGCCTCTCCTGCGCGTCGCGGCCGTACCTTGTAGTCTGCGGGCGGCGGCACGAGGCAGCGCACGCGGAGGTTGGAGGGCGGGCAGTGGCGTTCGTAGTGCTCCATGAGGCTTGTGCTGAGGTGCAGCTTCATCTTCTTGTGGATGTTGTGGTCCAGGCACGGGATCACCTCCGATAGCTCCGGGTCACACACCTGCCGAGCGTGCACACACCAATTAATTAGAAACTGGATATCGATGCCGACGATTCGTATGAAAGGATCGCTGCTTTTTTCGTCGCAACGGGCTGGATGCCATTGCCGGAGCGTGTGCTGGATTTATCGGGCCAGGTATCGCGGAAGACGAGATCTGGACCAGTTTAAGGACATAAACTCGAGACATGGCGCGCGTACTCACCGGAAACGCGTCGATCTGCTGATCGTCCGTGGACTCGTCCTCATCGCCGGAACGTTTCTTAGACTTCTTGGTCTTCTTGGCCTTCTTTTCCTTCTTCTTCGACTTCGATTTCTTACTCTTCTTCTCCTCCTCTTGAGTCTCAATCTCCTCGGTTTTCTCCTCTTGCGGCTCGCTCTCCTCGTCCTTAGTCTCGCTGCAACACAGACATCACGAATCTGTTAGAAAATTACCATGAAAGACGGAACAGCGGATTTGGCGAATAGGTTGTCAACCAGCCGTGTGCGTCAAACGGCAAGGCCATAATCTGCAAAACGCCCGTGTGCGTCCGAAGGCGGTCCACGCACCTGTTAGTCTGCTCAGCTTCATCCTCTCTCGGAGGGCTGCTGGACTCATCCTTGCCGCCATCTTCAGTGCTCTCTGTGGAATCCGAGTCGCCTTCGGCGCTGGATTCCTCCTCACTCTCCTTCTCAGCGGAAGTAGACTCCTCGGCTGCCTCACTCGCCTCCTCCTCCATCTGCTTCTCCTGCTTGCTCTCCTGCTCTTGCGTGACGACGTCCGTCGTCGCATCGCGCTCAACGGTTAGCTCCAAATCCAGTGTCTCTTTCTCATCCGCGGATGCTTTGCTCTGTTTCCCCAGCGAAGAAGTTTCCTCCGCGTCGGAATTCGAAGAGGAGTGATCCTCGGTCTGGCTACGAGATGACACGCTTGCCGGCTTCATCCGCGGCAGCACGGGCTCGTCCTCGACCGTAGATTCCGCCTCCTCTGTAGATTCAGAGCCAAACGCACCCACCTTGCGACTCTGCACAGGCAAATGCGAACTGCGTGTGTAAGATTCTCGCCCGGCACAGGGAGTTCACTCAAATATGGAGGTAATCTGCACCACACGAACCTGGGACGAGGTTTGCAAGTCGGCGGTGGGAGCGATGCTATTGGAGAAGGACCCCACGGAGAACATATATGCCAAGAAAAGAGCCGCCAGTGTTATGACTACGACGGCACCGGTCTGCACCGCACGGCGCCCGTAATTCACGGACTCTTGACGCCGCATCTTGGGCGAGAGGAGCGGTTGGCCCTGCATGTCTGTGACCCTTGTTCAGAAGCAGTTGTACTAGTTTGGTACGACCTACGTCAATGCGCAATCCCTCTTGCGTGAACTCAAAGGAAAAGAGGATCCGTACTAACGACTACGGTAAGCTGCGGGTCCTATTGATCATCCATCGATAACCTTCATTGGTTGCCTACTGAAGTATGGGAAGAAAGTGCCTGATAAGGTACATGAAGCGAGTGTGGGTGGAGTTTTTAGCTAACTTCAAGGAGGGTCCGCCAAGGGAATTGCGCGGCGAAGGGGTAAAAAGGCCCGAGTGAGCCAAGTGAACCGACGCGGCAACGACAGGGATTCAGCTCAGACAGATCACATCACATCACACACTCGGCCCAGCTGCGCGAGCAAAGGGGATGGACACACCGCCCAGCCAAGTCGCTGTCCCCTTACCTTGATCTCTGCAGGAAACGCACGCCGCTGGCATCCAGTCACGGGAGTGCCACGCTTCGAGGCTGGTCCAATCAGCGTCAAGGCGATGCGTTCCTTGTTCCTCTGAACGCTTGACGAATTCTTGAAACAGTCGCGGGGAATGTTGATGATGATTCTCCTGACCATACCACAACATCTCCAAAATACTACTCGGGTATTCTTGTGATACTACAGTGGAACATTTCAGAAACTCGGCTAGTTTTTCAGACGACGAGTCGAGTGAGAAAGTTAAAACACAACAATTGGGGGGTGGCGGGCAGTAGATATACAAAAGAAGTTTGATGGTTTCAGCCTCTCCAAGGACTTCTCGCCGTTGATTGTATTCCTTCCCGCCATACAATTTCCAGGTTCGCGGTGCGGAGCGCAGTCAGGCGGGCTTTTCAACATGCTGCAGTCATTGGGTTTGTTTCTATGGGCACATTTGTTCCTGCTTCACCAAGAAATAGAAGCTTGTACATGAAACAGTGCACTACGCTGTGCAGAACATTACCCACTTCATGTAAAGCGTCATAAAGCATTTGCTTTCACAGTGAGATTAGAAGCGGAAAAATGTCATATATTATACTTGCAAAAGAAATAAAACGTATGCATATAAAAACGGGCTCATAAGATGGCCTTATTAAACAATATATATTCCGTATCCTCCTTTTTAACTGCCGTCTATTTATAAGCGATCAATCAAATTCTGAATGCACTAGTTGATAATAGACTTATTTATGAACAGCTGTCATGTCAAGAATGTGCTGCGTGCCTGAGTTGCGCTCAAACGCAAAGGTGTACCACGCTCTATCTCATCGCTGGCGGGCAGGCACATCTCATTCAAGAGTTTGTTCGAGTACGGCTCAGTGGGTTTTGTAACGTTCCAGATGGGTGAACAAACCGCATCGAAGGGTTGGTTGCTTGGGCACACGTTGGGAGAGTCCATCACCGCCGTTTATCACCCCACATTTCACAAATGTATCTGAAACAGAACCAGCCCCATTCAGGAAACACCTGAAACAGCAGCGGTTCGGCTGATTCCCATTCTCCAGTACAGTACCTGCTGAAACGAAACAGCGGAAATCAGCCCCTTTCCGAGTGGATCATCCACCTGCGAAAGAACCATTTTCGCGATGCTTCGGGACGTTCTCGTGATCCAATCCGAGGCAAAGATTTGCGTATGTCAGTCTGTTCCGGGGTCACTACCAGCCCTATCGCTACAGAAGCATTTTCTCTTTTCCCAGGTATAATTAAGAGTTTAATCGGGCTCATCTTAGACATTTCAGGGGTCAGTATACGTGCAACAACCAATCCCCCTCCCCTAACCCTCCATTCTCTGGTTTTTTTTCCCTCGTCTCGCTTAGTAATAATTACATAAACCTCCCCTTAACCTCACTCAACTACGACGCTAGATGGATCTGCTGTGTAACGCAGCCAGTAGGTGCTCTTGAATTGCCAACGTAGTTGATTATGTGTAAACACTCAAATGCACGCTCAAGTGCAGGGGCGATTCTAGTATTGAAATTCGACTCAGATATCTGAATCTAGGGCAATCAGCCGGGTAAATTCTGGGCCCAAAGCAAGCGACAGTCCTGGTAACAACCATCACACGTCACGACTGACTCACACGACTCACCACCACCACTCACCGCCAGCAGCTTGTTGGGATGGGGTGTACATACAGTAAAATCAATCTACCATGACCATCCACCTGAACTCCTGAAGACCTCATCCTTCTCGCGACAGAACCATCAGCAGATGCGATCACCGCATTCCAGATCATCCGTTTCCATATTAAACCTTTGCACCGATCTCCCTGCACCGAGACTCAGGATGTCACGCCATGGTGTCACCTCCATCACACACCTGAAACTCTCACCTCACATTTGCTTCTCGTTCAAGCCATTCCATGCAACGAGGATGTGGCGGGGATTTCACACCGCACCCACACATACATGTGTGCAACCGCATGAAAAAAAGTTCTCGATCGCCTGCCGCACACCAGCCTGCTTCCTCGCACACCACACCTCTCCATTTCACCCGCTCGCTTCCAGTTCCTGCTTGCAACGCGCTTTGACCATCCACACAAGCACTTTCTTCTCCCCGTAGCTTGTCGCTTTGCTTGTGCTGTCCTTGGAACGGCATCGCGGCGAAGCTCAGTGGGGTTTCTAAAATTCGCGTTTCGGCTTTCCTTTACCTTGTTTCACTGACTCGATCGTTCGCGATCCACCGCTCCAATTCACGCAAAAATATCATAGCGAATCCACCGAGGCGCCACAAAGTCTTTCACCGTAACATCGTCATTGATAGCCACGTCAGAGCTAGGTCCACGTAGACATGTTGGAGGCTCTGTAGAGGTGACTTATTCTCACGATGTCTGACTAGGTCTGACTAGGTTTGTCCAGGTGTGCTTCTAACGAGGAGACGGTGGGGTGGAAGGGTCTGTCGCGAGTCGAAGCAAGGGAGGAGGGGGAAGGGCTGTTTTTGGCGGGTCGCGAGAATGAAGCGCCTACGGCGGCAATGGCGGGCAGATTTAGCACCTGTGGTAGTTTTGCTGCTGGCGGCGCTGCTGCTGGGGCAGTGCGCGTCGCATCTGGCGCAAGCAAGCAGCAGTAGTGACAGCAAGAGCAGTAGCAGCAGCAGTAAGAGTAGTAGCAGTAAGAGTAGCAGTGGTAGCGATGACAAGGAGGGAAAGTCACTCTCCGATGTGGTTGAAGAATCTAAGAGCGGTAACAGCAGCAGCAGCAGCAGCAGCAGCTCCAAAGACGAATCTTCGAAGAGTAGCTCTTCCTCCTCTTCCTCTTCTTCCTCCTCCTCGTCCTCCACTTCCAAATCTTCTTCTTCCTCTAAATCGAACTCAACGTCGTCCTCTTCCTCCTCCTCCTCGTCGTCTTCTAAACCCGATTCAGAATCCTCGTCGTCGGACTCGTCAAAAGGCGATTCGAAAGACTCATCTGGATCGTCGAAAGAGTCTTCGTCAAAGGATTCGGACGAATCAAAAACCAAATCCTCCAAGGAGGACACTTCCGATGATTCCTCAAGCAAATCCTCATCGTCCGATAAGTCCTCGTCATCTAAAGCCTCGTCGGAGAAAGATTCGAAAAAACCCGAATCGTCGTCTAAATCTAGCTCCAATTCTTCCTCCTCCTCCTCCTCTTCCTCCTCTGCTAACGGTACCAGCTCAGACGCGTCGGACACGTCAGGCGACTCGTCGTCCAAGTCAGATAAGTCGAGCAAATCGGAGAGCGATAAAGAGGACAAGGCAGAAGGTGCGGGTGAGTCAGATGCCAAGTCGAAAGAATCGAAAGAAACTGGAACAGCTGAAGAATCAGAGTCCGAGGATTCGGGCGACAAAGAGGAGGCGGATGGGGAGGAGGAAGACGACATTGCCCCTTCCTCTCTTGCTCCGCCATCCGCCGCGCCCGCTTCTTCCCCCGACTCCGCTCCCGCTTCCGCACCCGCTTCCGCCCCTGCCTCTGCGCCCGGTTCCGCTCCCGCTCCCGCTTCCGCGTCTTCCCCTTCTCCGGACTCCGCCTCTTTGGATGAGGGTGACGAGGCGCAGCTCGCGCCATCCTCCGCTTCCGCCCCGTTCTCCGCCCCCGCCCCCAGCTCTCAACCCGCGCCCTTCTCTCCGCGCGCCAAGGGCCTTCTGTTGCACGCTGCGCCGGGCGCGGACTTGGGGCGGCCCGCGGGCATCCACCCTCTGCGCGGGCAGCCCGCGTGGGACGAGGAGGAGGAGGAGGGGGGGGGGACAGGGGGGGGCTCGGGAAGCGGCGCTGGCGGAAGCGGCGGCACTGTCGCCTCGAGCGCGATGGGAGAGGGCGGCGGGGGATTGGGCGGCGGCGGGAGCGGCGCGTTTCCGGTGCACGGGGAGCTGACGATCTCGTCCGCCGCGACCGCGTCGTCTTCGCGCGCGTTTCAGCGCGCGTGCCAGTCGCTGACGCCCGACGCGGCGTGGATCTGCTACAAGGGCGGAGAAGTGCTGGCGCAGCCGAATCTCGCGCTGTACCTCGTGTGGTACGGCGACTGGGACAACGACCGCAATGGCGGCGACAGCGGGCGGAAATACATCCGCCATTTCATCAACAACCTCGGGATGCCCGGATTGGTACGAGCACGAACAGGGTGGAACGGGGGGAGCTGGGGGGTGGCGGGGGAGAGGGGGAAGGAGAGGCGGTGGGAGGTGGGTAGGGGTGTCGGTTGGCGGGGTGTTTGCGCGGGTTGGGCAAGGGTGGTGGGGTGGGGGGAGTGGGGGAGAGTTGAGACATGCGCGCACGGGACTTGGTGATTCGGCGCTGAAGGAACACCCGCATTCGCTCGCGCACACCCTCCGTTTCCGCCCCTTCCTCCCCTTCCCTCTCGCACGCACCGGTTCTCTTCCCCCGCTTCGCTCAATCCTGTTCAACACCCCGCTCCTGTGCCGCCTCCCCACCCCATCCTTTTCAACATCTCCCTTCCAAATTCTCCGCCATTCCGCTTCCCGCACCCCCCTCCCCGTGCGCTTCCTCTCCCCCTGTTCCGCCCGGCAGGAGGGTCTCCCGTCGCCCAACAGTTGGTGGCAGATCGTGCGCCAATACGCGGACCGCGCGGGCGTGAAACCCGGCGCGCAAGTGACTATAAAGGGCGAGCACGAGAACACGCAGTACTCGCAGGGGCGGCACCTGGGCGCCGACACGTCGAGCGTCTTTAATATCGTCATCGACGCTATTAACGCCGGCGCGCTGCCGTTCGATCCCGCGGGCGCTTACGTCGTGCTGACGTCGGATGACGTCACGCTGGCGAGCGCGGACCAATCGCAGGTGGGTGGGTGGGTGGGACGAGGCGACGAGGGGGAGGTAGGCAAAGACGGGGCGGGGAAGCGAGGGAGGGGGGAATGGAGAGGAGAGGGGAAAGAGAGAGGGGAGAGGCAGTGGGGAGAGGAGAGGGCGGAGGGTGGTGAGGGGGAACATAGGAGGAACGTTAGAAGGCATGCGGATATGGGAGGAACGTCTGGGCATGCTCTCTTCTCTGCGTGTGTTCTGTGCTGTGTGAATTCGTGGACCGCACACACATACCACCACACCACCCCTGCATACACCATGCTCCTCATGTTTCCGCTTCCTTCCTCCAACCCCCCCTTCTCCTCCTCCCCCTCCCCCTTCACCTCCCACTCACCCTGACACCCCTAACTCGCCTCACTGCTTCCATCCATCCCCTCTCCCTCCCTGTCGCTCTTCCCCGGACCCCTTCCCCTCCCCCTCCCCCTCCCCCTCCCCCTCCCCCTCCCCCTCCCCCTCCCCCTCCCCCCTCGCCCTTGCCCTGGATCTTCGTTGCGTATTGCGCATGGCACAATGCGCGCAGTCGTTCTGCGGGGTGAAGGGCAAGGGGTACTGCGGATGGCACCACCAGTCAGGCGTCATGCTCGGGCCCAACGACAGCTACCCCCTCACCTTCACGCACGTCGGTAAGTCCGCATTCCCGCTCCCGTTCCGTCTTGTTCCACTCACCAGTCGCTCTTGCTTCCTGCCTATTCCTGCCCTACCCGTACTCTACAGCTTCCCCCTCCACTCGCCCCCAACCCTTCCGCCCACCCAGCATCACGCTGCTCTGCCTCTCCCTCTTCCTCTCCCTCCCACTCAGTCTCTCCCACTGCCTCTTCCCTATTTCACACCTCCCTCTCCTCCACCCCCTCTCCCTCTCCCCCCCCCTCCCCCTGCCCCATCAGGCAACGCGGCAACCCAGTGTGCGGCGGGGTGCATAGGCGGCTTCGGCACGTACAAGCTGCCCAACAGCGGGTACTGGGGCGTGGACGGCATCGTCTCCATCCTCGCCCACGAGCTCGCTGAGCTCGTCACCAACCCTGGTGGGTGGCATGCCCGCACACCGCGCACACCTCTCTCTCATGCACGGCCATGGGACTCATGCCTCGCAAGCTGCAGTATATGAGGGTCATGGGCAAGTCAGGGACAGGGTGAAGGATGGCATCGTCTCCATCCTCGCCCACGAGCTCGCCGATCTAGTCACCAACCCTGGTGGGTGCCCGCACCGCACACACCTCTGCCTCACGCACTGGTCGCTGCCACGGACAATGTGAGGGACGCAGTCAGTAGCACAAGCAAGGTCTTGGGGACTTGGGCTAGGCAAGCCGAGGGCCACAGTCAAGGACAGGTAGAAGGAGATGTGGTGGGAACGCGAGTGGTAGACGCTGCTGTGTGGTTCACGCCTGTGCTCTTCCTTCCTTCTCAACGCATGCTGCCTCTTCACGCCCTTGCAATGCGCCTCCCCAGTCATATGCTCCCTCCCGACCCGCTGCCCCACTCCATTCCCCAACCACTCCCAATCCACCCCACAACCCCTCCCTCTCCAATCACTCCACACCTTTCCCATTCCATTCCCCATCCCCTCCCGCGCCCCCCATCCCCCACACGTCACTGCTCGCCCGTGCACGGCAGATGGGAAGTCAGGGTGGACGGGCAACAACGGGGAGATCGGCGACATGTGCTCGTTTGACTTTGGCGCTGTCACGGTGGGCGTGGACGCGGGAGGGCAGTCGTTCGGGTACAACATGGCTGCTGCTGACGGCTCTGTATTCCTCATCCAACGCCTCTGGAACGCCTTCGCTCCCATCGGTCACGGTTAGTTGCTACCATGTGCCCTGTGCCATGTGCCCTGTGCCATGTGCCATGTGTCATGTGCCATGTGCCATGTGCCATGTGCCATGTGCCCTGTGCCCTGTGCCCTGTGCCAAGTGCCCTACCCTCCTTGCTTCCATGCCCCTTCCTAACTTCACCCACCCCCTTCCCACCCCTCTCTCTTATCCACCGCAGGTAGCTGCGCGGTTGAGCTGCCCAAGGCCCTCGCCAACCTGCCCTCCTCCTCCTCCACCTCCTCCCAAAGCGTCCAATCCTCCTCCACTTCATCCCCTCCCACCACAACCACTCCCACAACACCCGCATCCTCGCTCCCAGCAACTCCTCTCTCCACGCTCGAAGCACCCAAGCAGTGCAAGGCGGTGCAGGCCCAGGCAGCAGCATTCACAGGGAGCATCAGCGGGGGCAACTGCTGCAGCGGGTACTCAGACGCGTTTGTGCGCGTGCCGTGGGACCTCAGCTGCAGCAGCTTCTGTGTGTGTGTGGGTGGCGTGGCCAGCTTCCAAGTGTCCTGCCCTCCCGGAACCATCTTTGATTCCGCACGCTCCCTCTGCTCTGCTCCTTCTCCCTCCAACACCTGTCCATAAGCATGCGCCGTGCAAAGGCACGCGCGCTCGCACACACACGCACGCGCTCTCACACACACTCAGCCACACCACTTTCCAGTGTGCCGCCTTGCCTCCACACATGATGGTGGTGTGCTCCACAGCCTGTTGTTCCAATTTGTATTCCTCATTCCAATGCTCTCTCTGTTGCAGCCTGTGCTTCCTCCCTGGCCTCCACAGTACATGGCCACTCGCGAGAATAGTGTTGCCTGTTGAGTATTTTATCCGGGCGTGCCTGGAGTACAGTATATTGCGCATGTCACATGAGTTCAACAGCCACCAGTTTCCCTTACGTGGCCATGGCTTTGCTTTGTTGTACCTATTATTTGTTGTATTAGTTACACCAAGGGTTTATATCATTAATACCTTTTGCAGGGTGTACATTAAAGATACGGCAGGTATACTAAGAACCAAAAACCAAGTACACTATTGAACCATATAAAGCACCATAAGTATAGCGGGAAGACATAGCGTCCCCTATTCCAGCTCGGTGATGCAAGGTATAGTTGATTAGGGACGGTCTGGTATTTCCAGAACCCTCCCTCTTTTCTTTGGTCAGTGTCGCAGCCTCGACATTCGTTTCGTGTCTCTTCTCAACGCCGAGTCGCCATGCCTCCCGCTCATGCAGCTCTCCTCTCGCGCCTTGCGCCCGCTTCCCTCCTCGCTCACCCACCACCGCGCAGAGCTCGCCTCCCCCGTGACCCCTCGCTGCTCCGCCATTGGCTGCTGCCCGTTCTGCGCGCGCTGCGACGGTGCCACCTGCGTCAGGGGCTTCAACTCCCCTTTCACATTCGGCGCCGCCAACATTGCTTGCTCCTCTGCGTTCCGCGCGCTCACCACATAGAAGCTCTCGCGCGGAACCTGGCGCACATTCTCCGCGGATTGCGCCTCTGCTGGCGGCGCGCCCTCGCTGCCCCTCGGCGGAGCATTTTCCTGTTGCTCGCTTCCGTAAGTGTCGCGCCCCTCATACCCCACCGTGCTAGCCAGCGCATCCGGAACACGATGCCCGACCTCCCAGCCTGTAAGCGCCTCGGCGTCTCTGCTGTTTCTTGGGCTCACACAGCCGTCTTCCTTGATCGCGAATCCCACTATCCGTTTGAAGGATGTTCCACGGCTCACGGCCATATCAGGTTTGTCCGACGAGTCGTTAACCGCATGAGAAACACGGCCGTTACTACTCGTGTCGACGCTCGCCATTCCGCAGCCCCACCCCGCGGTACTGTCCCGCGCGGGGGACGAGAATTCACCACCCGCGGAGTCGGCGGAAGCCATTATCGCAGAAGCGGAAGTAACGGAATTCCCCCGGGCGAGAACCGGGGGGAGCAGTGTACCCGCGTCGAAGGAAAGGAGAGGGGTGGGGAGGAGGGGCGTGGTTGACTCGGGGAGGTTTATTCCGCGCGTGGCGCTATAAAGGCGGCCGCGCTGCTCGATGTCGCCCAAGGAGATGCATGGCGACGTGGACGCGTGCGTCACCGCGTATGACGGTGACGTGGAGCAGCACGACGGGCTCGCACTGGGTCTGGATTCGCCGTTGCTCCACGCGCACTCGCCGCTGCTGCTCGCGCAGTTGCCGTCGCAGTCGTCGCACCCGCACTGGCGCCGCGAATACGAGCATGATGAGCAGGAGCAAGGGGAGTCGGTTTCAAGATCGTCGCCCAACATGCAAGGGGAAGGGATGGACTCGGCGTGTTGACCCATGCAGGCGTGCTGATACATCGAGGAGCTAATAGAATGCGCGCTGTCACTAAGAGGCCTCCACCCGTGAAACTTGAAGCAGCAAAATACTAGAAACAGGGGAGTCTAGAGTAGGGAAGAGCCGATAGATCAATCAGGGTTCTGAAGAGCTAAATTCTGATACATTCAGAAAGGGATAGATCTTTTGTGAAACGAAGTTAGGAACGCGATCTTAGAAACAGGTGGGGTTGAGACGTGTAAAGAAAAGAGTCGGTGGATGTTTCGCTTTGTTGTCCACCAAACCAAAACACAGAGCAGCGCGCCTCGGCGATGCTTACACATGTGCGTTACGGCTCTTTGCGTGGCAGCGCAGCAAAGCGCGCAGTGAAAGGAGGTGTCGCCTGCGATGATGAGGCACCGTGTCCGAGCCAGCGAGGAAGGCGAAAATGCGCTGTAGAGTGGATTCTCGACATTCTCTCGTCAATATTTTCGCGTGCAGGGTTTCGGAGAGGGCGACACTGTCGTTTATATCTTCCTGGGTTGCGAAATGAAATGTAAAACACATTGTTACTGGAACGCGGCAGGTGCATGGTCAGATGCGCTGGTCTTGTCTCTTCCGTATCTCGCGGGTGTTGAGGATATCTTCCAGCACTACGTCCAATGGCTGGGCTCTGGAATCAGGGTGGTCCATGCCACCACGTGGTGAGTACTGACAACCAACTTCCCCACAAAACACCAGTCCAGCCTCGCTCGGGCGAAATTTCGAGTCAGCGAAAGCCTGTCCACATGGCGCTGGGTGATCCCAGCTGTTCCCAGAGGCGTGTACAGGTTCTACAGCTGTACAGAATGTTCTAGTTCCTGTTATATTGTCTACATATTTCTTAACTTCTTACAGATTGAGTGCACAGCATATAGAGAAGTATTAGTCCACCTAGTTCATTAATTAATATTATATTTCATGGCCTGGCGTCGTTGCTTCCTAGTACTACCTGAGCATGACGACGCATAACCATAATATCATAGTTGATGTACACAAATGTGTCATTATTTCATGATGAGTCTCCTAATTGAAAGCCTTATTTATTTTTGTAGTTGCGCGTACGATGGCAAAGCAGCTGTCGCTTATTATGGCACAAGCATGCAAGTCATTGGATGCAGTACCATTGAAGACAAGGCGTCTCCTGGAAGCTGCCGGTGTGCTCTGCTCTGTTTGTCACCCAGCCACAGCTCAAGCGGCTATGGTTCATTATTACTTGCACGTGAGAGGGATAGGCAGGCTGTGAGAGGAGAAGGGAAAGACAGGCTGAAAGCAAGTGCTCGCGTCTGTGTGGCTAAACGCGAGAGGATGAACTGGAGGAGACAAGAGGCGAAAAACGGAAAGAGGAGGCTATGGCTTGTGGGTGCGGTCCTCAGAGGTGCGCTTGAAGACGGTGGGGAGGTGGTGTTTCGAGTGGGGGGTGCCGGCATCGAGAGGCAGTGACTGCACTCTCGAGAGCACCTCCACGGCCTGCAGCATGGTGGGGCGCGTGTCCGGGTCTGAATGGATGCACTGCGATGCCAGCACTGCCACCTGCCATGGGGGGGAAGGGGGAGAGTGGGAGGAGGGGGAGGGTGGAGAGAGAGAGCGGGAGGAGGGGGAGGATGAGAGTGGAATGATGGACGGTGTGAGGAAACAGTAGAGAAGAAGTTGTATGGAAAGGGTTTAGCTGGTGCTGTGGAGATGCAGTAGGAGAGAAAGTGAAACGGTTGGTGGGACAGGGGTTCAGGTGGCGCATGGGAAGGTTGAGTGCGGTGAAGTGCGTGAATGGGTAGGTACCTGGTAGAGTGCAGGGGTGGAGATGGCCCGTGCAATGAGCGGGTCCACCATCCGCTCCACCAGCGATCGCTGTGTCAACCTCGCCTTGGCCTGCTCCCCCATGCACATGCACCCATGCACATGCACACACACACACGTTAACACGGAAAGAATGAGACATGTAATGAAGGCGCATTTGTCAAGTGCCAAGGTGCATGCACGCATCAGACGCTCCCAGGCGCCTGGGCAATCGATCACATCAGCTCTGCTCACCCAGTGCACGAGGCTCTGCTCACCCAGTGCACGAGGCTCTGCTCACCCAGTGCACGAGGCTCTGCTCACCCAGTGCACGAGGCTCTGCTCACCCAGTGCACGAGGCTCTGCTCACCCAGTGCACGAAGCTCTGCTCACCCAGTGCACGAAGCTCTGCTCACCCAGTGCACGAGGCTCTGCTCACCCAGTGCACGAAGCTCTGCTCACCCAGTGCACGAAGCTCTGCTCACCCAGTGCACGAGGCTCTGCTCGTTGGGAGGGCGCGTGGCATCAAGGGGCCGTCGGCCTGAGATCACTTCCAGCAGCAGCACCCCGAACGCGTACACGTCCACTCGTGGCGTTGCCTCTGCTACCCACGCCAGCTCCGGTGCTGCCGTGCCCGCTGCCACTGCCTGTTGGGTGGTTGGGGGGAAGGGCAGGGGAATGGCAGGAGTAGGACGGGAGGAGTGGTGAGGTGATGCGGAGGTGACAAGGTGAATACTGCCATGTTCGCCCCTCTCGCTACTCTCGATCCTCACCTTCCTCTCACCCTCCTCTCACTCTCTTCTCAACTGCCTCTCAACCCCACCTCACCGCCCTCGCCGCCCTCGGCCCCATCACCCATCTCAGCTGCATCGCACCCCACTGCCACCCACGCGGCACCGCCAGCACCTCACCATGTTCACAGACGCCGAATGCGCCGAGGCAGCAGCGCCCCTGTTGGCGCTGGCGGCGCCGGCAGTGGCGGCGGGGGTGCGGGGGTGGGAGAGCAGCAGTGGCAGGCAGTAGTCAGCGAGCTTGGCGCGCATGGCATCATCCAGGGCCACACTGGCTGTCGTCAGCGCCGCATGAGTCATCTGCATGGCACGTGGGGGAGGGGGGGAGAGAGTGGGGGGAGATTGGGGGGAGGGTAGGGGGGATGGAAAGCATGTGGGTGAGTGGGGAGAGCGCTTGGGATGGTTGGGGGCCGTGGGGTAGGGGGGAACGGTGTGAGGCTCCTGTGCGGGTCGCAGAGGAGCACGTTAAGAGATGTAGCGCGTGTGGGTGACATCGTTTTGGTGAGTGTGTGTGTGGCATGCATAGGTACGCAAAGGTGTGCAGAGGAATGATGGCGCACCTGCGGCGTCATGGCGTGCAGGTATGCGAGCCCCTTGGCGACGTCGAGACAGATGGCCATGCGCATGGGCCATGGCAGGGGCGACATGCTCGCCTCCAGGTCTGCAGTAGGAGCGTGATGGTAAGATACATGGATAGGTGAGAGACAGCAGGCAGGAGAAGCGGCCGGCAAGAGCAACGACGGGGTGTATGAAAGAAGAAAGGCTTGAGAGGGGAGAAGTCATAGAGGAGAGAGGGAAGAGCAAGGACGGAAGGGGAGAGGCATAGGTGCATGTGGCAGTGTGAGTGTGCAGCACCCACCATGCAGGTGCATGTCGAGCGTGCCATTGGGTGCCATCTCGTACACCAGCACCTTGGGTCCCCTGCCCGCTCCACTGCCACTCCCACTCCCACCACCAGCACCAGTGCCAGCACCAGCCGCTCCAGCAGCAGCACCATCAGTGGTAGAACCAGCAGCAGGGGCGGGCAGCGGGCTGCAGCAGCAGCCGAGCACCTCGACGAGGTGGGGGCAGCGCACGAACGCAAACACCTCCACGGCCGCTGCAAACGCTCCCGCCGTCTCGCCCTCTGACCCCTCCACCTCCTTTATCACTATCCCCGCCCCCTCACTGCCCTCCCCTTGTGCGGCTGTTGCTGGGTCAGGCGAGGTGGCGGAAGAGGAGGAGGCAGAGGCGGAGGAGGAGAGGAGCGATGGGGGGAGGTGGCCGGTGAAGGAGCGGCAGGTGCCGTGCGTGGTGAGGAGCGAGTCGGAGTGGAAGGCGTTGGTGGCTCGTGATAGGTCGTCCAGGGAGAACTGCCTCATGGTCAGATGCGCTGCTGCTGGTGGGAGGGGGGAGGGGAAAGCAGGGGAGGGGGGGAGGAGAGGGGAGTCTACTTTTGAGGCGCGCCGCAAAAGAGGAGCGAGTCGGAGTGGAAGGCGTTGGTGGCCCGTGATAGCTCATCCAGGGAGAACTGCCTCATGGTCAGATGCGTCGTTGGTGGGGGGAGGGGAGGGCAGGGCAGGGAAAGGCACGGCAGGGCTTTCGAGGTGCCTCAACATTTGGTGGCCTGTGATAGCTCTTCCAGGGTGAACTGCCGCATGGTCAGATGCGTCGCTGGTGGAGGGGGCAGGGGACAACAGGACAGGTCAGCGGCTTAGGACGAGAGGGAGGGAAAGAGGGGTGGGGAGAGGAGAGGAGAGGGGGACAGGAGGAGGAAAGGGATGGATGGTGAGGGAGAGCAAGAGTTGAGGTGGTGGGTGAGCCATGCTGATCCCTGTGGGGAACTTGTGGCACACCATGCATGACCCACACGCTTGGTATTCACCATCCACACCTGCTCTCCAGCCAAAGCTCAGTGGAACAATTCGAAAGGCGTCCCTCACGCTTCTCTGACCGTGCCGTCCCTCACACCTTCTATGCCCTCCAACTCACCCGTGGGTCCGCCTAGCCTCCTCGCGATAGCAGCAGCGGTCGCAAGCGCACTGCTCCCCACGCCCCCCGCGCCCTCCCCGCTCCCCCCATCCGCGCCGTCCGCACTGCCGCCTGTCGCCCCTGCCCCTGCCGCCGCTCGGCCCTTCTTTGCCGCTGCAGCCGCTGCTGCCGCCTTGAAAGAGGACGACTTGCCAGTGGTGGTGGTGCTTGTGGTGGTGGTGGTGGTGCGGGAGGGCTTGAGAGAGGAGAAGAAGGAGATGGAGGCGAGGGAGGAGGGCAGCGAGGACGGCAGCGCGGAGAATGGCGGCACCACTGAGTACCCCTCCAGGTCGTCCGGGTCGTAGAACTGCCCCCTGGGAGGGAAGAGGAGATAGATGGGAGGGGGGAGAAGGAGGGGGAGGGGGAGGAGGGGGAGGAGGGGAAGGAGGGTAGGATGTTTGAGTCTACTCAGAAGCGGAAGAGGGTAGGGAGACGAGAGGGAGAGGAGAGGGGATGGAGTGACGACAGCAGGAGCACATGAGAGGCGCACAGGGTGTGCAACCGGTCATGCTATGCCTTCCGCATCCCCACACCCCACGCCCCATGCCCCATGCCCCATGCCCCACGCCCCATGCCCCACGCCCCATGCCCCATGCCCCACGCCCCATGCCCCATACCCCATGCCCCACGCCCCATGCCCCATGCCCCACGCCCCATGCCCCACGCCCCATGCCCCATGCCCCACGCCCCATGCCCCATGCCCCATGCCCCATGCCCCATGCCCCACGCCCCACGCCCCATGCCCCATGCCCCATGCCCCATGCCCCATGCCCCATGCCCCATGCCCCACACCCCACGCCCCATGCCCCATGCCCCATGCCCCACGCCCCATGCCCCACGCCCCATGCCCCATGCCCCACGCCCCATGCCCCATGCCCCATGCCCCACGCCCCATGCCCCATGCCCCATGCCCCACGCCCCACGCCCCACGCCCCATGCCCCACGCCCCACGCCCCATGCCCCATGCCCCATGCCCCATGCCCCATGCCCCATGCCCCATGCCCCACGCCCCATGCCCCATGCCCCATGCCCCATGCCCGCCCTGCTCCTCCGCCCATCTCACTTGGTAGTGCGGCCAGCATACTGCCACGCGCCCGGGCGGGTATGGCGCAGCCCCCCTCTGAGCGCGAACACAGCAGCCACCACCAGCGCCGCCACCAGCGCCAGCACCAGCACCACCGCCGCCGCCACCGCCGCTGCTGACGTCGGCGCTGGGAAGCTGGTCGCACCCTCCAGAGGCGCTGATTTGGACATGGGAATGAGGGTGCAGGGGGAGAGGGGGAGTGCGAGGGTACGAGGGTGAGGTGGTGGATTTTGCAAGAGCAGGGATGGCAGTAGGAAGGGGTGGACGGGCAGACTCACATCACCACAACCATCACCACAACCATCACCACAACTCTTTCTCCCTTGCCCCACCTGCTCCTCGCCCTGCTCCCACTCCCTTCTCCTCCTCCCCTCTCCCCCTCCCCCTCCTTCCTCCCCCCCCTCCCCCTCTCCCTCCCCCTCCTTCCTCCCCCCCCTCCCCCTCTCCCTCCCCTTTCCCCATGCGCGCATCTCACCGGAGGGGCACATGCAAGCGGTGAAGCCCTTGCCGTCCACGCACGCGCGCTGCCCCTGCGCACCGTCCGCGCACGCGCACAGCTCCACCTGCCCGTGCGCGCACGCGCGGCGCTGCTCGATGTGCGGAGGGGCGCCGTGCCCCTGCAGCACCGCGCTGCACCGCCCCATGCCACTCAGATCCACGCACAACTCGGGATTGCCCTCGAAGCTGAGGAGGTGGGAAAGACGAGGGACGGTGAGGGACGTGGAAATGGAGGGGAGAGGAGGGGTTAAAGGTGGTACTTGGAGTCTATGGCGCAGCAATGCCCCCTGCCGTTGAGATCACAGCACAACTTCGGATTGCCGTCACAGTTGCAGGGTGGGGGGGGAAGGGAGGGGAGGGGAGGGGAGGCTGGGAGGGGAGTAGGGGGGAGGGTACAGGAGAGGAAGGTGCTTGAGCCATGAGAGAATGTGGGTGGAATGGCTTCGGTACATACAGTCACAGTGACACAGTCACAGTCACATACCAGTAGTCGTTGGCTGGCTGATACTCATTACCATTCACCCAGCCACTGTCTGGATTGCCCATGCGTGCGAAAGGGGGACGCAGAGCGGGGAACGTGTGTGATTCACATGTACAGATGTGCACAGGGCGAGTGTGTGTGCAAGCGGGCATGCATACACGGGCAGGCGAGCAGACCTGGCGAGCGGCAGGTGGTGGAAGGAGGCATTGATGTGGCCGCGGAGGGCGTTGTCCGCCACGCTCAGCTGCTGCAGTGGCAGCGCTGCCAGGCCCACTGGCACCTCGCCACTCAGATTGTTGCTCTGTAGCAGCCTGCACCGGGATGGGGGGGAAGATGGGGAGAGGAGGGGAGGAACGGTGTGAGAGGAGGGGAGGAGGGTAAGGGGGCAGCGAGAGAGGAGAGAGGAGGGGCTGTAACAATAGGAGAAGCGGCAGCGGCAAGAGAGGAACAGGCTCCTAGAATCTTCAGACGTGGCGTAGTGTGGTGTGGCGTGGTGTGGCGTGGTGTGGCGTGGTGTGGCGTGGTGTGGCGTGGTGTGGAGAGGGCGTACAGCGTGTGGAGGCGGGTGCAGTGAGCAAGGGACAGCGGGATGGTGCCGCTGATGTTGTTGCTGCTCACATCCCTGCACGCACACCAAAGCACAGGGTAAGGAGGCAATGAGAGAGGTGAGTAGCGGTGGAGCAGTGTGGCACGAGGGAAGGAAGAAGTCGGATGGTGCCGCTGATGTTGAATGGTGGGCGAGAAGGCACAGTACGGATCACGAGCGGGAGAGAGGGGCGGGGTGAGAGACTGAGAGGGAGAGGGAGTGGTGTGCACGTGCATCATGTGTCCTGCTGCGTGCACGGCCATGTGCCAAGCAATCCACTGTACTGAACGCCACGGCATGCACAGCACCGTGTGAATGGCACGGCAGTGAGCAAGCGAGTGAGGCTCACAGTGTTTCGAGGTCCTGCAGCTGCCCCCACTGCCACGGCACATTGCCCTCGAACCTGTTGCTCGCCAGCAACCTGCACACGCACACCACGCATGCACGGTTTGGGACAGCGGGGCACAGATGAGCGCATTGAGCGTGCGTTGCTTGGAGCTGACAGGGCCGGGCAGTGAGGCAGTATGGAGTTATGGCGTCATGGAATCACATAGAGCAAGCGAGTTGGGGCATGGCAGTTGCAGCACGGCACGGCATGGCGTGGTGGACAGACGACACGCAGGGAGTGATAACGTAGACTGGAATGTAATTGCGATGGGAGCAGCAGCAGCAGAGGCAGGGGCGGGGCGCTCACAGAGTGATCATGTTCTTGGAGATGGGCCACGGCAGTCGCCCGTGGAAGCGGTTGCTCGCCAGGTTGCTGATGGGCACACACACACGTGGCACACACACACGTGGCACACACACACGTGGCACACACACACGTGGCACACACACACGTGGCACACACACGAGGCACACGGCACACGCCCACATGGACACAGAGCAGCAAGAAAAGTCAATGGTGGTTGCTGTCACTTGCTTGAGAAAGAGCGTGTGAGCTGCTAATGCGCTTGTGTGTGCATGCTCACGTGCGTATATGTGAGTGCTGCGTGGGCGCCTGTGTTCCCAACCCTGTGCGCCCATGTGTGCATGTGTGTAAGTGCGTGCATACAGGAAGGTGAGGCGGCGGTTGACGGAGAGCGCGCGGGGGAAGGTGCCTCCGAGCGAGTTGTTGCTGAGATCCACGTGCAGCAGGCGCTTCAACGTCGCTACGTTCTCCGCCACGCGCCCGCTCAACCTGTTGCCGCCCAGATCGCTGCTCGTGCCGGGTGGAAAGGGGGATTCAGGAGGAATGGGAGAATGAGAGTGAGAGGGAGAGTGGAAGGAGGAAGGAAGTGAGGTGTGAGGGGTTGGGAAGGCAAAGAGGATGCAGCAGAGAAGGCAAGTCAGGGAGGGACGGGGAAAGGGGAGGAGTAGGAGAGAGGTGGTGCTGGTGGGGGGGTGGTGGGGTGGAGAAGCGGTGGGCAGCCAGTGAGGTGGGCAGTGGGGGGTTGCGAGGGGGGCTGAGGGGCTGACATCATTTCGAGCTTGCGGAGCGCGTTGAGGGACTGGGGGAGATGGCCCTCCAACGAGTTGTTGGCTAGCTTGCTGCTCGCATGCACGTGAAAGATGCACGCACCACACACACAGACACACAGAAATATGCGCACACATGCACGTACACACACGCACACAGGAATGCAGAGAGGGGGACACACACACAGACATGAATGGTGGGTGGGTGGACTCACCGCCTCCCTTCCCCACACACAGATACGACTGTGGTTGTAAATTTCTTTTTAGTGTACTTCCAACCGGAGAAAAAAGAAGAAGAAAAAAAGCAACAAGGCGTGTGTGATTCAAAGGAACCAGCACCTCAGGCATTTGGGCAATTATTTTTATATATCGTAAGCGCAATCGTGTGTGCCCCAGGAAGGGAGCTGGAGCCCGATACCGGAGCCCGTAGCAGGGAGCAAGGAGCACGCACAGGGCCATGAGGTTGGTGAGCGAGAGCAGCGAGGGGATGCTGCCCGCTAGCTGGTTGCCCGACAGATCCCTGCCAGGTGCCAAACAGCGCACAGCACACAGCACGCACAGCACAGAGAGGAGAGGGATGAAAGCAAAGAGGCATTAGGGAAGTCCCAGCGCCGGTGGAAGTCAGCATGCCGCAACTACCTGCACTCACTGCCCTGCATTCTTGACGCACCTCAGGAAAGTATATGTGTGCTTCTGCAAAGTGACTATTAAACGACTTAGTCTCTTTACCTGCCCGGGACTGTCCTCTCCCCTATCCCTATGCCCCCTACCTCCACCCCGTCCGAACCTTTCCCCCCCTCCAGCGTCCCTTCCCCCAGTCCCATGCGCGCTTACAGGCGGCGCAGCGCCGTCATCTGATCCACTTCCGCGGGCACCTCCCCCGTGAACGCGTTGCGCCACACGATGCTGTGCGCACGCAGAGGGGGGCGGACGGGGAGGGCGGAAGGGGGTGCGAGAAGGGGAGGGGGGATAATTAGGAGAGTGGCATGGCATGGCGAGGTCTAACCATAGGCAGGCAACCGTAATACTTCTACTGTCTACAGCTTCTGCAAGCGTTAACGGATGTGGCATGGCAGGGCAGGGGATGGCATGGCAGGGAAAGGCAGGGTAGAGAATGGCATGGCAGGGCAGGGCAGGGGGTTAGGACAGGGCCGGTACGCACAATGAGGTGAGAGCAGTCAGTTGGCCGAGCTGCGAAGGCAGGTTACCACCGATGGCTGTTTCGCTCAGCTCGCTGAAAACGGGAATGGGAACAGAAGCAGGAAGATGGGCCACGGGAGGCGGAGGCGGAAGAGAGGGAGGAAGTAGAAGGGCAGCCGTGCAGCAAAGCGCAAGTGCCAGAAGCGCATTGCATTGGAACATTGTGGCATGGCGGAGTGGTGGCGTAGCATCGTGGTGGGTGGCGGAAGGAGTGGCGCGACTCACAGTTCCTCCAGCCCGCGCAGAGCGCCTATGGACGCGGAGAGCTCCCCGCCCAGATGCTGCGCGCGGATGACGCTGCGGAAGGCGCAACAGGGAATGGGGAATAGACGACACGAGGACGGTTGGGTGGCAGGCAAGAAATGTATTACTGGGCCAATGTGGGCGACAGTGAAGGGGCAGACGCGGAGAGGAGAGGAGAGGGGAGGAGACGAGAGGAGAGGAGAGGAGATGGGCGGACAGGAGAGTGGTTCGTGTCGTGTAGACAAAGGTGAATTCTTTCCTCGCCATGCATCTTAATTGCTTGTTCCATCTGTGGCTTCACAGAGTATTCTTTCAACCGTCGCACGCTCACTCGCGGCTCATGACCGCCGTCGCTCGACCAGAGGTGGCACTGGTGGGTGGTGCTACCCTCCTGATGCGCACGTGCAAGCATCACGCGTGTGGCATTGCAGTATGATACTGCCCGCCGACGTATCCCCATCCTCTCCCTCTTCGCCCCCACACTTACATCTTGCTCACGTATGCCTCGCGTTTCTCTCCGCTGCCCCGCTCCGCGCAAGTCAACCCCACCCACTTTCCCCCGCACGCGTCGTCTCCGCTCCAGCTGGTCAGCGCGGGGGGGTTCCCCCAAGCGGCCTTGAGATCTAAAAGCGCGCGGACTGCGGGGGAGAAGGGGAAAAGCGGAGGTTAGGGGCGCGAGGGGGAGCGACGGGCGGGGAAACAGCAGGTAGGCTGGTTGACGACAAATTAATTGAGGGCGAGATTACGAAGATGCAGTGGAGAGCAGTCCAGTTTCATATGGGGGAGGTGGGGGAGATGGAGAAGTTAGAGATTGATTTGAGAGACTCTACGCAAGTTTCGTCCAAAAAATGGGCTCTTGTTGGGTTCGGAGAACGGGAGAGCGCACCATCGTCTGGTGAGGTTTGTGTTTGAACAGCATCGGTACAGAGTAGACCGAGGCCGAGCAGCGAGAGGAGAAAGACGCAGCTGGCTCGATGACGCGCTGGCTGCATTTGGAATCTATTAGTACTGCTGTGACGCCACGAACGCCCCATAATGCTGGATGCGCGATCAGTGCAAAGGTCAAGCGAGCCAACTCTAAATTAAGAAGCTCAAAGAATGCTCGAACCTCAATCTGCGTGCTGTGTTATTGCCCTACTCTGCATGCATGTGGAGGCGCTAGTATCAGTTCCCACAGCTCTGCCAAAATAATCCGTGCTGTTTGGTTACAAGATAAGAAATACGGATCCTTGGTCTGGTGTCCACGAACTAGATTTGCGTCTGTGACTCTGCGACGCCCACCCGGTTTAGGCTAGGATATGCTTGGTTGAGTTGGGTTGAGTAGGGGGGCTGCTCCTCTCTCACACATAAGCGAGCCAGCGCCCCCAACCAGGCCTGTGATGCGTGTGGGAGGGACACGTGTAGCGGGTCGCGATGTCAGGCGCGCTGCGCAGGTGGAAACAGAAAGGCTTCGTTGTCGCAAACTAGATTTAGCACTGTTACTGATATTTTATTGGTTGACGAACGTGTTCAGTCTGTCGATGAGGTTTCGCCAGAGCAAGCGAAGCACGAATTTGCTGGCCTGAAACGGAGTTTTGACTTCGACAACCTGGGGAGTGAGGCACCTGCAACTGGCTGCATGAGGATGGACACCGAACCCTGGAGAGCTCCAAACGAAATCTCCTTGACGGTAAGTGAAATCAATATAGTACACCTTACCCTCGCCAATTTCAACACCTGGGCCCGGATCGCGTCCTTGTCGTTTTTCTCTGGGGTTGAAATTGGTCGGAACAAAAAAGTTCCCTCCAATTTCAACACCCTGACGGAACAATCGATGGTTTTGAACTATTCTGAACCATGTTAGAGCGTTTTCACTCGGTTCTGGGTGGTTAGGTGATGTTGCTTGGACCGAACCGCGCTCGCCCCAGGACCACAGGTGACGACAAAGGGGTTGAAATTGGTAGGGATTGAAGTAAGCCAGGGACAGGTGTACAGGTACTGGCAAGCACTCTACATCATGCAAAAATTAGAGTACACCCTATTCTCGATAATTTCACACCCCCCAATCCCGAACCGCGTTTTTTTTTTGCCCGAGAGGGTGTGAAATTAAAGGGAATATTCTCCCCGATAATTTCACTCTCGAGGCGCGGTAAAGCTGTGCTGGCAGGGAATGAAAATGACTTGAAATGACCCTGGAAGTGTTGACGATCTTGAAAAAAAAATGTATCCAATGAAAAACAGTCACGTCAGGATTGCGTTTATCGTAACCCTGTCCACAAATTCGAATTTGAGTGCCCACACCCAAAATCGAAGCCCTAATCACAATAGGGTTGGAAATTCGACACATGCGCGTAGTTTGCGACCAGAAAGAATCACCAATCTCCCCCAATTTTCTGGGCTGCGGACAATATAAATAGCGGTCATTTCTGCAGTTGTCAGCTCAATGATCCTTCACGGTTCGCCAGCTCGGCAGCCCAAAGCCTTTGCTGGTGATCCCGAGCCGGGGTGTGAAATTAGGGGGTATGAAATTATCGAGAATAGGGTGTAGCTATTTTGCACAATCATGAAACACATAGGTCATCACTCTAAAGAAAATGCCCTTCTTTACTTCGAAACTGTCTTGCGTACCATGTACAGAACAAATCTGTTGCGATCAGAAGTTGATCGTGCCTAGGATCACCTCAGGAAGGTTCGCACACGACTGAATAGTGGTGGTGGGCCCTTGACCTCAATAGCAGAGTGAATGTAAAATGCTTGAGATAATAAAAACATGCAAGTACGGGAATATAAATAAGAGTACAAGGGAATACGAATCGACCTAGTATAGCCATGTACTCTAAGGGGTGCATTCCCTTATTGCAGCGAAACCCAACCGTGCGACTCCAGACGGTTACAAACTGCCTGGGCAGAATCCTTGCCACTGCTGCTGCCTGATGCTGTCTGCCCAACGGTCCAGATGCCTTTCGTAACCGTACGACCCTTCGCGTCACTTCCGTCCTTTCGACTTCATTCTCGGTAGTGCGTGCTTTGATTGCTGCGGTGAGGAGTGCATAGTGATATTTCAACATTTACTATTCGTAACACCCCCCTTCACTCCTGGCCGTAGCGAGTCTTGACCCGCTTGACTACTCCGCTGAGTTCGGAGCAGTGTTGGTACTGCTGACGTGACAGCTTCTTCGTGAGGAAGTCAGCTGCCATGTCACCCGTCGGGCAGTAGGTTAGGTCAACCTTGCCCTTGTCAACTTCGTCCTTGACGAAGAAGTACCGTAGCGCGATGTGTTTGGTGCGGTTGACGAATCCAGGCTTGTTCGCGATCCTGATCGCGCTCTGATTGTCGCAGTGCAGGCGAAAGTTCCCCGAGGCTGGAATTTTCGCCTCCTGCAGCAGCTCCTGAAGATAGAGGCCTTCGCGAACGGCTGCTGTTGCTGCGATGAATTCAGCTTCCGCCGATGACAGGGCAACTAGCTCATGCTTCTGTGAATTCCAGGAGATGGGACCGCTGGGCTCGAGGCGGAAAAGAAAGCATGTCTATTAGAATCAGCAGGCACGAATGATTGCATTGAGCAGCAGGATGAGTACAAGTATGAAACCCTAAAGGGTTGTACTCACTAAAGTATGCCCCACTACAGCCTAGAAGCATACAAATTTAATCTGACACACCCCCATAGGCAAAGTGGGGGATAGCAAACACAACGAACGGTCACAAGACCAGTCAAGCAAGAGAACAAAGCAAAGCAAAGCTCAGGGTGGATCTCAAGATCACCACTTATTCTGAGTACAAGCAAGTGGCCACAAGGCCAGTTCACATGCAGAGTTATAATAGCAAGGCACTACACTGATCACAGCCTAGCAAGAGTAAACTAGCAGGTATAAAGATATATATCAGTCTACAACAAGAGCAAGTCAAGCAACCAGCGGGTGAGGCAGAGTGGGCACAAGCCAAAGAGCAGTGCAGAAACGCTGATGATCACAAGAACCAAAGGCCTTGGTGAAGACATCAGCAGTGTTGGCCCGAGAGGCCACGTAAGCAAGGTGCAGCTGACCACGCTGCTGCAGCTCACGCGCAAGGAAGTAGCGAAGAGCAATGTGCTTCGTTCTGTGCTCCAGTCTCTGCTCGCGACACAAGGCAAGCATTGCCTTGTTGTCGACGTACAGAACTGGAGGAGAACGAGGCCGCTCCCCCAAGTCGGTCAGCAGGTAGGTCAGCCAGCGTAGCTCCTGTGCAGCCATGGCCCCAGCGTAGATCTCGGCCCCACAGCTGGAACCAAGCACAGAAGAAGAACGAGTGGACCTCAACGAGACAGAACCAGCGCCAAGACTGAAGGTGTAACCCTGTGACGAATGCTGAGTCGCCTGGTCGTCGGCCCAAGAAGCGTCAGAGTGTCCTGTGAGTACCACTGAACTCCGTCCTCCAAGCACGAGCCCCATGCCCGATGTACTGCACAAGTAACGCAATACACCTGTTCGCAGCATCAAAGTGCACCTTTCGGTGTCTACCGGGTGCCACGTAGCGAGCCAGGAGGCTGAGAGGGTACGCGAGGTCAGGTCGTGTGCACGTCATCAGGTACATGAGGCAACCCACAAGCTCTGCGTACGGACCACTCGGCTCTACGGACTCGTCCGAAGGTGGAGCTGAGAGCGAGTGGCCGGTAGACAGAGGAGTGGGCTGTGGCGAGGACCACGTGAAGCTGAAGCGCTGAAGGTCCTGGTGCACCATGTGTGACTGAGTGAGGGTGATGGTGCGCCGTGCTCTGTCCCGGGTGATCTGCAAGCCAAGATAGCTCTGCAGCTCACCCAGGTCAGTGCAGGTGTGTCTCTCCTGCAGCTCCGCCTTCACTAGGGCCAGTGCCTCAGTGTCAGCAGTAGCAAAAACTAAATCGTCGACGTACACGAGGATGTAGAACGCCGGCAGAGTAGTGTCGGTGCGTAGAAAAAGCGACGGGTCAGCACTCGAAGGAGCAAACCCAAGAGCCGCAAGTGTCGTCCTCAGTGTGTCGTGCCACTCGCGGGGCGCCTGACGCAGGCCGTACACTGGTCGCCGTAGGCTCCACTGGGTACCCTCAGGAAACGACCCAGTGAAGCACTCTGGACGGCGCAACCAGATAGCCTCGTGAAGGCTACCCTGCAAGAAAGCTGTCGAGAAGTCGAGGGAGTGCAGCTCGTAGTCACGCTGAGCTGTAACGTGTAGCAACATCCGAAGAGTGGTCATCTTCGGGGTGGGGGAGAAGGTCTGAAAGAAGTCGACTCCCGCACGCTGACTAAAACCTCGAGCAACGTAACGTGCCTTGAAGGCAGGCGGAGAACCCGGCGGCCGCTTCACCCTGAAAATCCACATGCCACTGACGATGTTCGCCCCAGGTGGGGGAACCTCGTCGACGTAGGTGCCTGTGGACTTCCAGGAAGCCATCTCTGCGTCCATGGCTGTCTGCCACTGAGAGCAGTACTCACCCGAAATCGCCTCTCTGTAAGAGCGCGGGGTGGGGATGTCAAGTGCATCCGGGTCTCCCTCAGGGGCAAGCAGCATGGTCGCGGGATGGGGTGCAGCGGCCGCAAGGCACTCCAGCTCCTCCTGTCTGTCCTCAAGAACGTCACAGCTAATGGCAGTACAGCAATGGGCAGTCTCACCCCCGACGGACGGAGGACAGGCAGGGACAGGGTCAGAAACAAGACTCGTAAGGTAGTCGAGGCGGTACACAGCAGCAAAGTCAACGAGCTCAGCGACTAAGGCAGACGCAGCAGGAGACGAGATCGAAGGGTCAGTCACCACCGTAGCAAGAAAGCGAGTAACAGCCATACTGGACGCACGAGCAAGGTCAGACGGAGGGTCAGCAACGCCAGGAAGAGAGGACGCAGGAGGTAACGGCAGGACAACACGCTGTGGAACAGAGGAAGGACGGAGTGTCATATCGTGAGTGCCTGGGACAGCCAGAGCACGCTGACGACGAACACGAGGAACACGAGCACGGACAGCAGCTCTAGGCTCGGGCTCAAGGTCAAAGCTGGACTCAGGCTCTCGACGCTCAGGGGTGGAAGCACGAGTCTCAGGCTCTCGATGCTCAGTCAGGGACTGTGTCACCGCAGTGTAGGGAGCAGGAGCAGGTAGTGGGGAGTGCGGTAGCAACTGCGACTGTGACTGGTCTGCCGGTGGAAACAGTAACGGAGGAGTAGTACCTGCCACAGGGAATTCAGTAGCACCTGGCGGAAGACTGAGAAGGTGGCGAAGAGCACCAGCAGCTCCCGTACCTCCAGCACGAGCAGCTCCACCAGCACTCCCAGCAGCACCTCCAGCACCAGTAGCACCAGCACCTCTAGCACCTCCAGCAACTCCAGCACCAGCAGCACCACGAGCTCCGGCAGCGCCAGCACCTCTAGCACCAGCAGTACCTCCAGCACCTCCAGTGCCAGCACCTCCAGTAGCACCTCCAGTACCTCCAACACCAGTAGTACCACCTGCTCCGGCAGCTCCAGCACCTCTAGTACGAGCACCTCCAGGACCAGCAGCTCCAGCACCTCCAGTACCTCCAGCTCCAGCTCCAGCGCCTCCAGCACCAGCAGTACCTCCAGCACCAGCAGCACCACCTGCTCCGGCAGCTCCAGCACCTCTAGTACGAGCACCTCCAGGACCAGCAGCTCCAGCACCTCCAGTACCTCCAGCTCCAGCGCCTCCAGCAGCAGCAGCACCAGCACCTCCAGGGTCAGTAGCTCCAGTAGCACCTCCAACACGAGCAGCACCACCAGCTCCGGCAGCTCCCGTACCTCTAGTACGAGCACCTCCAGGACCAGCAGCTCCCGCAGCTCCAGCACCAGTAGCACCAGCACCTCCTGTGCCAGCAGCTCGAGTACCCCCAGCACCTCCAGTACCAGCAGTACCTCCAGCATCAGCAGCTCCAGTACCTCCAACACCAGCAGTACCTCCAGCACCTCCAGCACCAGTAGCACCTCCAGAACCTCCAGCAGTACCTCCAGGCCTAGTAGCTCCAGTACCTCCAGCACCAGCAGCACCTCTAGTACCTCCAGCTCCAGGACCTCCAACAGGGTCACCCACAACTCCACCGCCACTAGGACTCGCAGCACCCCAAGAGTCAGCACCCCCAGAACCAGCACCCCCAGTCGCAGCACCCCCAGAACCAGCACCCCCAGGCACAACACCCCCAGAACCCTCACCCTCTGTCTCATCACCCCCAGTCTCAGCACCTGTAGTCTCAGCTCCAGAGTCCACAGCAGCAGGCTGCGGAGGCGGCGAAGACGGTCGAGGCGGAAAACCCGGGGGGGTCTCCAAGCGTGGAGAGCGGCGAATGGCCGCCGTGTCGTCCGCGACTGGGTCACCCCCCTCAGCTGGGCCAGAGGAGTCAGAAAAGATCTCCACTGGCTCATCCAAGGGGGGTGGGTCGACCTGAGACACACCTGAGGGAGCAGGACCCTGTGGGGAGAGGGGGTCTACCGAGGGGGGGACTGGTACGAGGAAGAGGGGTGCTAGGGGAACCGGGTGGGACGCGTGCGGGTGTAACTGGTAGTAACAGACAGACTCGTCAAAGGAGACGTCCTGGGAGGAGAAGACTCGACGCGAGCGCGGGTGGTAGAAATGCCACGGCGGGGCGTCAGTGGGGAAGCCAAGGAAGACGCAACGGAGAGTGCGAGAGGAGAGCTTGCTCGCTTTGGCATCGCGAACAAGGGAGAGCGCGCCCTAGACCCGAAACACTGACGCATCACCAGCCTTCCCCGTCCACCGGAGGGTGGGCGAGGTCTCTGGCACAGAGACACGAGGCCAGAGGTTGAGCTGATGCGCAGCGTATCGGACCGCAAACGGCCACAGAAAATGGGGAGCGGCCGCATGGATCATGGAGGTGCGAGCAACCTCCATGATCAAGCCAATGCGACGCTCAGCAATCCCATTCTGCTGAGGAGAGGCCGGAAGCGTGAACGTCTGGCGGATGCCCTCGTCTCGACAGAACTCCGCAAGGAGGTCAGAGGAGAACTCACCGCCCCTGTCAGAGTGCAGACGCAGGACTGGGAAGTCCTGCTCAAACCGCTCGTGCAGCTGGAGACGAGTAGCACGGATCCAGGGGATCAGGACACCGCTGACCTCCGCCTTGCGCCGCAAGGGGAAGACAGTGGTGTAGCGTGTGTAGTCGTCAACAACCAGCAGGAAGTAGTGCTCGCGGTCCGTTCCACCGATGGGGGCCGGGCCCCACACATCCATGTGGAGAGTCTGCAGAGGAGCAGTGGTCGGAGGAAACTCGGAGGAGTGAGGAGCAGCGCGCTGCCGCCCCTCGACGCAAGGAAGGCACGGCGGGGCAAGCGAGCGCGGCAGGGGAGGCAGGGTCCTGGGGAGGCCAGAGACAAGGAGACGGGAGTGCATGCTGCGTAGACGCGGCAGGGAGGGGTGACCAAGGCGGTGGTGCCATCGCTGAGTCTCGTGCGTGAGTACTCTGCACGAGCAAGACGCAGCTAACTGCTTCGACGCAGACGCCCGACTCGACGCAGCCACCTGACCTGACTCAGCCACCTGTGCAGACACAGTGGTCAGTGTGTACAGACTAGACCCAGGCTGACGAGTGAACGTAGCCAGGTGACGGCCAGTCCGGGAGCACGTACAGATCGCCACACGCTGCCCTCCAGGAATAAAGGTATCAACCTAGACATCCTGAATGGCAGCGTTGCTCACCAAGTTCGTCGAGAACGTGGGGAGGTGGAGACCTGACAGAGAACCGGAGGGGACTGCCGGACAAGGGAGGACAGTGGAGGCTCGCGCAACCACTGGGCCCCCAGAGGGGTCAGCTAGTGAGACTGGGACAGGTGCTGCAAGTGGTGTGACTGTGGTGCAATCACGAAATAAGCAACGTGACGCACCTGAGTCAAGCGTGAAAGTGTGCAAGACCTCAGCTGAGGCAGGACCTGTGGCAGTAGACACACTAGTACCTAGAGCGTCGGCAGACTCACGGGCACCTAGAGCTGCAGCAGACTCACCAGCACCTGGAGCGGCAGCAGACTCACTAGAACCGAGAGCAGTAACCTCGACACAGCCAGGGACGCATCGCTGAGAAGCACAGTCGCGAGGTCGCTTAGGCCACATAAAACCAAAACCTCCACTACCAGGACTGCCTCGCTGAACCAACCACTCACGAAGCTGCTGAGGGGTGGGGTCGTCCGGGAGAGGCAGTGCCCGCTGCCATCCACCCCTGGTTGCAGCAACTGCCGCGATAGTGGCCATGACAGACAGTGACGGTCAGGAGTAGGTCCAGCACCTCCAGCTCCTCCAGCACCAGCAGCACCTCCAACTCTCCCAGCAGCACCTCCACCACCAGCAGCAGTAGCACGAGTGGCAGCAGCAGTAGTAGTAGCAGCAGCAGGGCGGCTCAGTGGGGCTGGGCGGCCGCACCTCCAGCACTCCCAGCAGCACCTCCATCAGCAGCAGCAGTAGTTTGTTATTATTATTATTTTTTTGTGTTTTTTTTTTAGGTTTAGGGTTGCGCGCGGCCCACGGGCTGCAGGGGCGACGCGCGGCTCACCAGGGCGGCGCGCGGGCTGGAGGGGCAGCGCCCACAGGGTGCAGGGGTGAATCGCGGCTCGGCAGGGCGGCGCGCGGGCTGTAGGGGCGACGCGCGGCTCGGCAGGGCGGCGCCCAGGCTGCAGGGGCGACACTCGGCTCGGCAGGGCGGCGCGCGGGCAGCAGGGGCAGCGCCCACGGGCTGCAGGGGCGACGCGCGGCTCGGCAGGGCGGCGTACGGGCTGCAGGGGCAGCGCCCACGGGCTGCAGGGGCAACGCGCGGCTCGGCAGGGCGGTGCGCGGGCTGCAGGGGCAGCGCCCACAGGCTGCAGGGGTGACGCTCGGCTCGGCAGGGCGGCGCGCGGGCTGCAGGGGTAGCGCCCACGGGCTGCAGGGGCGACGCGCGGCTCGGCAGGGCGGCGTACAGGCTGCAGGGGCAGCGCCCACGGGCTGCAGGGGCAACGCGCGGCTCGGTAGGGCGGCGCGCGGGCTGCAGGGGCAGCGCCCACGGGCTGCAGGGGCGACGCGCGGCTCGGCAGGGCGGCGCGCGGGCTGCAGAGGCAGCGCCCACGGGCTGCAGGGGCGAACGCGCGGGCTGCAGGGGCAGCACACGGGCCACAGGGGCAGGCACGGCTGCAGGGGCAGCACGGTCGCAGGGGCAGGCACGGCTGCAGGGGCAGCACGGTCGCAGGGGCGAGTACGGCTGCAGGGGCAGCACGGTCGCAGGGGCGAGCACGGCTGCAGGGGCAGCACGGTCGCAGGGGCGAGCACGGCTGCAGGGGCAGCGCGGTCGCAGGGGCAGCGCGCGGCTGCAGGGGCAGCGTAGGAAGAAAAAATTTACGGTTAGGGCAGGGCGGAACGTTCGGTGGGCCCTAGGAACGATTCTGCTCTAATACCACTAGACCATTGGGATAAAAGGGCTTGTTTGTGTAGCGAGTCCGTGCGCCCATAACCCCCCAGGCATACGCGCATGTAACCCCCCCCTAGGATCGATCGGGGATCTCACAGTGCAGCTATACTGACACCCCCCCACACTGGGAGGCCCAGGACTGAGCACAGCGGCAACGGCCTGCATGTGCATACACCTGGATTCGAACCCGAGACCGCTCTGATACCATGTTAGAATCAACAGGCAAGAATGATTGCATTGAGCAGCAGGATGAGTACAAGTATGAAACCCTAAAGGGTTGTACTCACTAGAGTATGCCCCACTACAGCCTAGAAGCATACAAATCTAATCTGACACTGTCCTGGACCGTCGATTGTCGGGGTCAGCGGCGTGATCGGCGTCCACGTAGCCGATGAGGTTGAAGGACGAGGTTGGGATGGTGGAGTAGCAGAGCCCAACATTGGGCGTGGAGATGAAGAACTGAAGTGCCCGCTGGAGGTCTAGTAGATTCTCAGCCGTTGGTTTGCGAGAGTACTGAGCCAACTGGCTCGCGATGTAGGAGAGATCGGGCCTGCAGGTAACAGATGCAAAGAGTAGGCATCTCAACTGCTGCTGGTATGTGTAAAGCCCAGCAGGGGACAGGGCTTTGTTGTCAGGCTTGTGGTTGGGTCCTGGAGTGCGGTAAGGTTTAGAGAGTGGTGCAGGCGCAATGTTGAAGCGCTTACTAAGTTCCTCTGCGTACTTGGCTGCTGAGAGATGAATGGCTTCCGGCGAGTAGGAGATGTTGAGCCCGAGAAACTGCTTCACGTCATGGTTGCAGGTGATGTCGACGCGCCCTGCGAGGTTTTTCTCGAACTGCTCAAGCAACTCGTTGCGTGACCCTGTGTAGAGGAGGTCGTCGACGTAGACCGTGAGTAGGATGTATTCGCCGCGGAAATCGCGGCGATACATCCCAGGATCGTGAGGCAACTGCTTGAACCCGATTTCAAGCAGTATGTTGTGCAGGTACTGCTGCCAGAGTCTCGGCGCCTGTTTGATCCCATAGAGGGATTTTCGCAGCTGGCAGACACGAGAATCCCCTTCGCCGTACGTGTGCGGCTGCTCCACGTAGATCACTGCATCTACTAACGCGTACATGAACGCGTTCTTCACATCGATTTGTCGGAGCGAAGGTGTCGTGCGGCAGCGATGGCGAGGAGTATTCTGACGGAGGTATGACGGCTGACCGGTGCAAATGTCTGGTCGAATTCAATGCCGTGTCTCTGATCGGAACCGCGCACTACCCAGCGCGCCTTGAATCGCTCGATCGTGCCGTCGGCTGCGGTCTTCACGCGGAAGACCCATTTCCCAGAGAGAATCCTCCTCCCCTTAATTGCCGCTCGATCGACGAGCACCCAGGTGTCGCGGGACTCAAGTGCCTTAATTTCCGCATCCATCGCTTCGCGCCACTCCTTGCTGTGTGGTCCCGTGAGTGCTTGGTGCGGATTCTTCGGCTCGATGACACGTGGCGCCGTTGAGGTGGCAGTGTGGAGCCCGAGAAGTTGGAGTCCCAAAACTGTGCTGTCGTGGCGGTGCTGTGGGATGACTTCCTGCACATCATCATCGTCGCTTTCTGGTTCAGGTGGTGCTGGCGGTGCTGCGCCTCCGCCGCTTCCGCCTGCTGCTCCTGCTCCTCCTCCAGGAGAATCGTCGCCGTCGTCGTCGTCGTCGTCGTCGTTGTCGTTGTTGCGATCGCCTCTTGTGAACTCGCCTCTGGGATCCTGCTCCAGAATGGCTGCTGCAGCTTTGTCCTCAGGTGAGGCGTAGCTGTGTCCGTCGTTGGCATAGACGCGGTTCGCGTTCGCCTGCTCGTCTTCGCGAAATTGCCGAAGGAAGAGCCGCTCGTAGAAGATGACATCCCGCGCGTTCTTGATTTTATGGCTCAAGAGGTCCAAAATGAGCCATGCTTTGTGCTCGTGGCTGATGCCGAGGTGAATCCCCCAGCGCGCGCAGCTTGCAAACTTCCCGATAGTCGATGTCGGCGGGCGGTACTACACCATGCATCCCCACACGCGGAGCATGGATGTGTCGCCCTTGGTCCCCGTCCACTTCACATGCGGTGATGAGTTGCCGGAGATGGCGGTTGTTGACAGCAGGTTGTGCACCCGCACGGCGCGGTGCATTGCGTAGGTCCAGTAGGTCGGCGGAAGCTTCGACTGCTTCATCAGCGCCCGCACTTTCGTCATGAGGGTGCGATTCGTGCGCTCAGCTACGCCCTGCTGCTGGTGCGCGTAGGGGAGGGAAATGTGATGCTCGATTCCCTTCTTCGCGAGGTAATCCTGCAGCTCCTTGCTCCTAAACTCCGCCGCTCCGTCAGACTGCCAGATCTTCAACTTCTCCCCAGATTGCCGCTGCGCGTGCGCCAGCCACAGGCGGAACACTTCGTATGCTCTGCTGCGCGCTTCCACGTTTACGATCCATACCTAGCGCGTTCCGGCGTCGACGA